GTAATGCTGAGAAAATAATTTGAAAAATACTTCGTTTTACTAAGCTGTTATTTTTTTTTTCAAAGCAGATACCTCAGGAGACAAATGAATCTGACCAATCTCAGTCTCTACTGCAGTGAGTACAGTACATTACAAATACATTCCATTCAGCCCTACTATAATTAAACAATGCTCTTTTATTTCCAGTGCTCTGCTCTGAAGCAGTTTTCTTGCTTGCTTAGAGAAGGATGTGTGTTTATGCCAGAGGTACTTCTGTATCCAGTATGGGTCAAACTGTTTCTGTATTTTTTCTTATCGATGTTATCACATAAAGACTACTCAGTGAAAATTGTTATCCAAGAATTTATAATAGAGAGATTAGACCTCTTTGTCAAAAAAAAAAAAAAAGGATTTCAATAGAAATAGAATTTAAAATAGAAGAAATAAAAATAAGTATTAAAAAAGGATAGCCAAGTCCACTTAGAAATCTTAGAAATCTGAAAATCTTAGGTTCTTCGTGTCCTTCTGAACTGCGCATGCTACCTCTAAAATGGCTACAATTGCTCTTACAAATAATTGTAAGCACAAATCTTCATAAATCTTAACTATTGTAAAAATATTCTTAAGATGACTAGATTGCAGTTCTTTCTGAACTTTTTTATTACATTATTTAATCCTAGGGGTTGGATAAACTGTCCCTCAGTTTCTGAAAAATTTCCTGAACCTGTTAATTCACTGAATGCTGCAGAAGGGAGACAGCAAAATAATTCTGTAGGTATGTTTTATTTTATACAAAACTGAAAGTTGTTCTAACTGGCCGAATTATATGAGATGCAGAAGATGAGTATCCACGTAGGTTTATTTGGAATTTTACTATATGTGGCCTTGACAACAGGTTTTCATAGTTGTTTTGGAAGTATTGTGTTAGAATTCTTTGAAATAACAACTGCTTTCAAAAGGGAGTGATGCCAAGTTAAAATTGTTCCACTCCTGTGGAATTTTCTGATGAAAGTTACAGATTGAGGGGTGCCCAAGTGCCTTATGTAAGAAGAGCATGAATGTGAATAAGAGTCATTGAGGGTCCTACAACATGCTGCTTACTGACATTCCCTGAATCACAGATACTCCTGAGAGAAGTAAAACTTTTGCCAGACCTTTCCCAAATCTGGCCATAATGTAACGCCCTGCTGCTACTTCCTTTGTGCTCCCATTCATATCTGCTCCCAGCAAGGCAGTTCTGCCTCATGTGTTGCTTCTTCCCTGTTTGTACAAATTTGTGCTGTCCTAGTAGATAATTCTGTTTTGTTGTTTGTTTTCCTTTTTTTTTTCTGGGAAAACAAAATAGTTTCCCAGAAACTCTGATGAATATCGAAGTGAGATTATGGGAGCCGGGGGTGTGGGACCAGCCCATTTGAGCTTGTTTTGTAAATTATTAGATGGGCTCCATTGTGTTGTCTAATTGCATTGTAATTATGGAGCGCAGGGAACAGGCCTCGCCCTCTGAAGTGGGTGGTAGTTCCAGTTGCATGATGGTCTTTGGAAACACAAGCCTCCAAACTACAGCTAATAAATGTAAAAAGGTGACTCAGGAATATAATTTGGTGATTAATAGAGCCTACGTAGAGAACTCATTGTCAGTTCGTGTCAGAGAGCTTGAATGCAGTTGTTTTTAAGAATGTTGGAAACTTTAGCATTTATCAGGAAGAAGAGGTCGTTTTATTAGAGAAGATGAGAACTTTCAAAAGTGAAATTCAATGACAGTACAACCGAAATATTTGTTTACATCCTAGATTTAAATGCCAAAGTGGTTGGATTTCTGAAAGATTCAGAGGAAAAGGTTAGTGTATTTTCATAATTGAATGCACATAAAATATCATTTGACTGAATTAGCATTGGAGAATATTTTACTGCAAAACAGTACATTCTGACATTTTAAAACGCAGATGTGTAGCTGTCAAAACCTACACTGAGTACATCAGGTTATTTTTTTACCTTGTTTCACTTGAGTCTTACTCAGCTTTTTACTCTTTGGGTCGGAACCACACTTAGCAAGCTTATTGGATACAAGTGTAGGAGATGTACAATAATGAAGAAATATGAAAGATATTGTAATGAGACAGGATCCAGAAGAGCTATGCCTTAAACTAATCAGAACCTTCCTAAGAAGCTACAGATGGCATCATGTTTCCAACAAATGAAAATTATGGAAGAGACACTAGGAAGATCTTTGAGGAGCAGTAGAGTATTTGTAACTGCCTTCTGTTTGTGAATGAGTCACTTGTGGCCAAAAATAGGTAGTACCAGTCTCTATCTGTTCTCTTTGCTAATCCTAGGGCTGCTTGCAAGTGATGAGTTATACTGCTGATCACGTAAAAGCTAAGGAATAGCTTCAGAGCTACATTTCACCCCATATGTCAGCTTCCTTTTTCAGTGATTTTGAATCCAGGATAATTCCACCACAGTTTAAGCCTATCTAATTGGCTGGTGAATGGTACTGTCAGTTTTCTTTGCCATGTATTTCTGCTGCTTCCTTTGGGTTTGTTTGAGACCAAGTGCAAAATGTGTTTTGGGGAGCTGATTGTCAGACACCGTTCACTTTTTTCAGTTGGTTTAGTAGTTTTCTGCCATCTTATTTCTCAAGCTAGTTTACCCAAAGATTAGACAACTGCCAGTACAGTGCAAGAGAAGATGCACAAATTTGTACTTAAAAGCAGATTGAAGGATGCAACTGTAGAAAAGCTAATTTACATAAGCTTCGTAAAACCTGAGTGTTATGAATATAACTCACAAAGAATACTGATTATTTTGGTAATTACTGGCATGCACAGAAAGAAAACCTTGGAGGATAGAGGGAATCCTCCATAGCTTGCAGAAAAGGCAGTAAGAAAAAATATCAACAATGTAAATCCATCAATAATTGCAATAAAGATAATAAGTAAATCACCCAACCCAAGAAATATTTGAGCAGGAGTTGAAGGTTCTGCAACCGCTCACATTAACCCCCTCTTCGCTATTTCCTACCAACAGTCATGGTTTGAAGCTAGTGAAGTCTGGGCAGCAGAGAGGAACTTGGAAAGGTCTGTCTCTAAGCAGCAGAGCAGCATTTTATTAAGGGTTCTTTGGCTTTGCCTCGTTATCATCTGTCTGTATACTGTTGTTTGCAACCATGATGCTACTTACAGCTGCTCTGCTACCTCTGCATTGTCCTTATTCCACAGCTGATGTAAGCCCCTTGGTGGTTTTTGATTTTGGTCTGAATTCATCCCCACCCAGTTCACTCATTTCAGGTCCATTTTTCCTGGACTAAGAAGCTCTCATTGGAATTTGCTCTGTTGCTGGTTCTACAGCAAAAAGGCCCACTGCAATGTTATGTTGAGTTGTGAGCATTTCTACAGCACTGCTGAGATCAGCTGCAGGGGTCTTGGAGAAAGGAGTATGTGTAAGTGTTGCTGCTGTCTGCAGCTTATTAGGAAAGCTCCCATTTAGCTGGCAGTAGGGTAGCAGTTCTGGCATCTCCACTCTGACATTCCAGTGCGGAACAGTTTCTTGGCATGTGCAGAGTAATTACCTGCTGAATAGTCTATGTAAATGATAGTCTATAGCATTATGAATGTTTTGCTTACTGCTATAGGTTTGTTCCTAAAAAAGGTATTGTATAAATCAATTTTATTTTTATCTTTTCAAGAAGCTTGAGTAGTTAGGTTAATGCTGGGGAAAAAACATAATCTACTAAAATTTGCCAAAGAAAATATTGAAAGCACTGTCGGAAATTTTATGTTATCTTGTAGCTGATAGCATTACATTATATTATTGCTTATTTTAAAATAAATACACATGCACAAAATCCCAAATCCTCTAATCTACTCCTCCTCTTTCTAGAAAAAAAAAAAGAAGACTTATGCCAGGGCTTTCTTTTTTTTCCCCTCAGTCCTTTAAAGACTGCACAAATTGGGAAAATGATCTAAAAACAAACTGTAAATCAATATATTAAAGTAAAAAGTACTCAATACTGGAAAAGGAGCAATTAGCTACACATGTACAAGATGGAAAACTGCTGATTAGGAAATATTTTTTCAACAAAGTGTCAGGGATTTATAATGGCTTGCAACTGAATCAACAGCATCAGGTTTCTGCCCTTTTTGTTTTGTTCTATTTGAGCTTTGTCAAAATTTGTTACCTTCTACTTCAAAGAATTCTTGCAGTGCACAATATTGCCACTTGCTGGCAGCAAGAGTCTAAAAATGTACTGAAAGGGGAATCTCTTTAAGAGTTCCTTAAGCAACACCACTGTTTTACCCATTATACAGAAAAAGCTTTTTAGACTTGCTGAGGTATCTGATTTTCTCCAGCAGAAGTGGTTCAATGACAAGAAATTAGAAAAAAGAAATGGTATAAAAGTGGGTGCATCTCCTAGAAGCAGATCAAAGTCATTAGAAAAACAGCAGAAGTGTTACCTTTCCAAGAACAGTTGTATTTTTTTGCTTTTGTTGCTCGGTGTGGAAACTTAGACATGTAGCCCCCAAAGATACTCCAAAGATTTTGAGCTTAAGGTTATGAGGCACAAGTGATTCCACACCATCTTGGAATCCACACCAACACATAAAGAAAGCTGAAAGAATATATTGTGTTTTACTAACTGCTTATTATATTGTGTTATGAGTATGTCCACTTCCACTGTTTTGGGATGACAGAAATTTTTAACTCCTCTTAACATTTCATGTCATTGTCAGTAGCATTATATGACTTTATAACATGGTTTGTCTGTCTTGTTCTTGAGTTTTTCACTGCAAGGGACGTCATCAGCTGAAATGATCTGCTTTTGAAATTGGTGTCCCAGTCCCTTGCTGAAAATTTTTGTGAATTTTTAGTAAAGGCCTAAGGTTCTTGCAGTTTACTTTATTCAAAAATTGTAAATAATATATATGCATATTGATAGTTTACAAATTAAATGTTGATTATGTGCTTTTTAGAAAAAGAGGTTCCATTCTTTTTCTTTTTTTTTTTTTTAAACTTTTTTACGTTTAGATTTCACAGGTATTAAGTGATGAAGATCTCTCTCCAGAAACAAGCCAGTTCCTAGATGCATTTCTGGAGGAGCTAGTAATGTTTCCAAAAGAACAGACACTGCAAGAGATATTTCCACAGGTTTTGGAAGATTGCCAGAGAGCAAACATGACCGTTATTGACACAGATAACGCAGTAAAAGAACATTCCCATAATAATGATCCAGATCTCTCATTGACATCGTTAGGGAAGATTTTCCTGGAAGTATTCTCTGAACAGAGTGCAGTTCCGGGTGAATTTGCAGTCAGTGATTTGTTCAAACCTCCCAGTGACTCGGAGAGCCCTAAAATGCTAAACCCCTTGCCTGACGTGTTAGAGTGTCAGGGTTATGCCTTGCCCTTCAGTACTCTAGCAGATGAGAAGAGCGATGCCCTGCCAGCTGAGCTGCTGACAGCTCTCAACTCCTTCTCAGGATCTGTCGCTCCTGGAGCACCAAGCCAGAGGCAGCTTAGTGCTGAGGAAGAGCAGCTAAACTCAGAACCCAGTGCTTCCCAGCTACATGATGACTATACACAACTAACAAATATGTTTGAGCCTCAGCTTCCCACAGTTCAGGTGGAAGAAATAAAAGCCATAACAGGATCTAACTTGCAGAGGACAATGAATGAGCAAGTACATATGTGTTATGTATATCTTGTATAAGTTATGCATATCTTAGAATATTTTATAGAATAGTCAAAACACTTGGAGATATAAATCTTAGTAGAGAACAAATTGGTATCATTAATTTACATGCTTAATATCTTCTCATTGTTTTTGTTTTAAAGTTCCTTTTTTTTTCTTTCAATATATTCTTATAAAAATGTGTGAGTTTGCTAGGATAGGAAATCCTGGTAAATTTGATTTTTCTATTTTTTTTTTTGTTTCGAGTTGTCTTTTACTCAGTGACTGCCATGGCTAGAATTAGCAGAGGAATTTTAAAAACTCCTGTTCCCTTCGCATAGTTTATCTCACATCTCCAAAGAAAGTACCCAAACGCTATTCTGATTTGCCTTGATAGCACACCTGGCATAAACCAGCCAGGTTCAGCCTTTTCCCTACCTTATCCTCTTCTGTTTACTTTTTCATGCCACAGTGTGCTGGGTTTTATGCTTCTGTAGCTCCCACCACTTGTAGCATACAAACACTTGCATATATTAGGAAAAACACTTATAGCCATCTCTTCCCTTTAGACTAGCAGGGCTAGTGAGCATTCTTTCATGTATATATTTCAGTGTGTTGAGTGTCTGTGTTTTTTAGCCCTGCCTACAAGAGACTGACTGCAGAAACTGAGACTAGGTTTTATGTTTTTGTCCTCCACTCAGAATGCTAGTATGTGTGGATATAACCTGTGATCCCTCTTTTTGTCTCTTATCCTGTGCTCTTCACAACATATGCCTTGTCCTGCAAAGATGGTCTGCTACAGGTCTTTTGAATTTAACACGATGAGGCAAAAGTCTAGAGGGGGATGTGAAAACAACATTAAAATCTCTTCCTGTGAGGTTATCATGATGGAAAGAGTAAGACCTACATGTTGTACTATGGAGTGCAATAGCTATCCCTTGCAAACCTGGAATCAGATCCTCTGCTCTGCATAATCTGTTGTTGTATATCAACAATAATCCACTGTATCTAGTTAAGGTGGTTTTACAGCTACTTTTCTTCCACTCAATGGCATAAAGCACTCAAAAATATCAATTAATTCAGTCTTTTATTGGATACATTATTTGAGTATCACAATGTGTAAGAAATTGTCCTGCAAAGGTAGCTAATATCAGGTTGCTGAAAGCTCAGAACCATAGCACTTGTAAAGCTTGCTTCAATGAAGTGTAGATTCCTGAAATATGTAGCACAGATTGTGGAGCTTAGTATACAGATTTATTCAATGTTGCACTTAAGATTTTGAGTCAGGGTCTTTGGAGAATGAGATCCATAATCTGTTTTTGATTAATAATTTATTTTAGCTTTTTGATATCTTACTAAAGGCAGAAGGTATGGAAGAAGTTTAATGGGAAAATACTTCAGGCTAATTTCTTAGTAATTGTTGTGTTCTGATAATATATTGCTTTCTCTGGTCTTTCCTCGACCTTGTTTTTTCATAGTATCCTTATTCTGAAATAAGGATGAAACCGGTACCCAAAAGAAGAGAGCCTGTATTGTCCTACAGATGCAACCATAGGACTATATAGGCCTCTGTTCTGATATATGATCCGTTATAGCATAAATGGCGTTTTTTTGTCTGTTTTCTCTTCAAAATACTTGGTTTCCAGCAAATTTCCTGTTAATGTACCTCATGTCTTTACCAAGAGGGGTCATTTCTAGGGATGCATATCACCCCTTCAGGAGACTTTGCTGAATATATCAAATAAAACCCACCCCCAAACGAACAAACAACCCACTAAATCTTCCATTTCTGTCTGTATTCTGCAGCAACACTGGCAATTTTTCCCATGTCTCTGCAAAAGAATCTGCAGAGCCCCTGTGCCCATGTTGATGTGCACCAAGGCTGTGCCCTAGGAGCGTTGCGTGCCACTCGAGGGGCTGATAAGGTGATGCGCACCGAGGCCGTGGCAGCAACGGGAGCGATACGCAGCGTGCGCACGTCCAGTGGGCTGAAATGGAAAATCGACTGGAGTAGCTCAAGCTATCTACCCCGTGATAATTCATCCTTGTACAGGATTCCTCTGTGTTAGAGCATCTGGAGGAGCATCTAGAATACGTGTATAACCGCCTAGTTAGGATCCCCCTGACACTCTTTAGAACAAGATGAATCAGTCTGTGAAAGGGGCTGTTCCTCTTCAGTGGTGATTGGAATGGAGGGAGAACCAAGATGCATGGTGACATCTAAGGTGTCTGACTTCTTGATGGCTGCAGTCAACTGAGATAGGTCTCATCTGTGGTGGTGATAGCTCAGGACTGGGATTGTATGTTTTTAGAAATAGCTTCGCAGCTAGAAATTTCTGAAACACTGTTTCTGACCCTGGACACATTTCTGGACTTGTACAAGACTAGAATTAAAGTGGCTAGATAAGGCATCTTGCACATCACAGTTTTTTTTCAAGAAAGGAGCTCCTTTCTGTAGGGAACTAAAATGCATCTGTTGGGTTATTTCACACATCCAAGTAAACAACTTTCAGATAACGGTTTTTGTTCACTGACAGCCGGGCTAGATTTATTATTTGTGTTTTGATTCCGAGTATCCTACTATCCTTCTGTAATTCTCCCAGTGCTGCATGATGTGGCAGTGCTTCAGGATCCTCTCTAAAAACCTGTCTGTGGTGTCTGTAGAATTCCAGCTATTACTTAAGTAGACCCTCTATTCTCTGTGTTTTTTTTCTGTTGGCTGTGAGCACATATGTAATTTATAAGATGCTGTACTTTGAACTCTTTGTATTTTTAGAGCTGTTTTTTTAATAGTTTGTTTCCTGGTCACTTGTTTTGTTTTTTTTTTTTTTTTTTCTGGTCCCTTTTTTTTTTTTTTTTTTTTTTTTTTTTTTTTTTTTTGCCACAGCTTGTGGGTGATTGGCAGAGAGAGAAAGAAGTAATTTCAAGCTACTGGTGTGGCAACTTTCATGAAAAACCTACTGGGGAGGGAATTTCCCATTCAGTGGAGACCGATTTGTGTGCACAAGCTACCAAAGCAACATCAAGGAGAGCAAAGCAGTTAAGAGGGACCTCTTCAAGAAAATGCACAGGTTGTGATTCCCGTTGTCGCCAGATACTGCATAGGACTTCTCACAGTGGCAGCACAACAAGAAACAAAGCTAAGGATTTTGAGTATGAGAAAATTATGCATAATATTCGTAAATTCCTGCTTGTATTAATGTAACAAATGTGATGCAGACTGCTCATTCCTCATGTTAATGATTTTAAATGATCCAAAGGTAAAGGTTTTAACATTTTACTTGCAGATCTGAGAATCAGTTTTTGCCCTAATTTGTTTTCTTTTCAGTACTATCAAAGTTAGCAAATACAGGTTAATACTATTATGTCATTTTAAGGTTAAATGTATTTATATTTTTAATTGTACTATAAACCTTGAGTTAGTGTATATGGAGAAAATAATATTTTTGTTGATTCTAAAGCAAATCTCTTGTCAGAAAAAATCAGAAAGCTACTTCTAATGACAAGCAGGATCTAGCAACCAACATATGTCAAAGGATGACAGTTCTGAACAGGAATAAAAATGCTGAGCGAACAAGGAGAAGTAAAAGAATCCAAAAGAAAATGAGTGAGATGTTCTTTGATATTTATTTATCTTTTTATTTGAGCAAGTGTACTGAATAAAATATAATTCATAGCCTTTTCAATATATTGTGACACGTATTTATTTTTAAAAGATGCCGTAAGCATTTTTTATTATTGATAAATTATTGATGATTTACACAATTTCCTTGCTTATATGTACATCTTAGCAACATAACGGTTGACTGGTATAGATAAACCTGAGCCACGAGAAACTTTTCAGGATGCAAGTTTTATCACATAATATTATAAATAAAAATTATAGGGTGTATTCTGAAAAGCAAAAGTAAAAATATATTCATATGGGGTGAAGTTGTAGATTCTGATACTGTAATCTAATATTCTTGCTGCAATGTCTTTTTGAAGGCAATGCCACCCTCAGGAATTGATCTATAAAAAGCGAATTATTCTATTTTAAATGCCTGTTGTTATTCTGTCTGTGTTAAATATAGAGCCTTCACTACCACAGTCACTAAGCGCTCTTTGAAGTGTTCTGCCTTCCAACATGCTTTGTCAGAGAAAAAGATTGCTATTTTTCATCTTTCAAAGATGAATTGGCAAGCAAAGAAATCCTCTGGCTTACCCGGGAAGTGTGTGGGAGAATACAGAATTCATCCATGTGCTCACTCCAGAGCAAGCCTTTCTTTAAGAGAATAATCTTTAAAGTTTTTTTTTTCTTTAAGCCCACTCAATTTGGCTTTATCAGTGCACCTACAGCATTTAAACAGCTTACAAAGTTTGGAAGTATTCAAATTGTAACAGTTGTGTTGCAGATCTTGTAAATATGAATAATTGTACTACCATTTAGCAACCCTTCTCTTTTTTTCATTGTTTTCGTTATTCCCAGTGGAAGCACCATTTTTATGAGATTCAAGGTTGAATGACTAACCAGACTTGTATTTCAAGTTGACTTAGTAATTTCCACTTGAAAAACAAGCTGTTGGTGTTTTAAGCATGATTTCTACAGAAGGAATGAGCCTGCAGAGGTAGCTTCATGTTAATCCAACCTGATGTGGTTACCTCCATTTTGCAGCAGATCTAGTACTGTCAATCAGCTTTGCTTGATAATTCACCAGTAAAACAACCCCACAAAAGTTTGTTTGGATCCGCAAGCATGACTTGCGTTGCACAATGGCTGGATCTGACCCAGGGAAGGCAGGTGGAGGTGACAGGGAGTAAGTCCTCTTTAAGTTACAGTGTACAGTCAAAACAGATTAAGTGTAGCATAAAATGGCCCGTCGTTCTGCTTGTATCTAGGTGGTTTTGTCCTTCCTGAGCTGCCTGGCTCATTGAAACCAGTTTTGACTGGGGACTGTAGTATCATGCATGATTAAGGTCTTGCAAGATTAGACCGGTAGCGAAGAAATACTATCCATGTGCTCAGCTGAAAAGGTGCTAAGTAAATCCATACCACCTCATTTCCAAAAAGCTACATGGGACCTACGAAAAGCTACATGGGAATGGTTTATTCTGAGCTCAGAGTCTATCATGATGTACAAAGCAGTAGAGACAGGAGTCTTGATGAGTTCCAGCTGTAACTGAAGGACCTGTTTTTCACATAATGCTTAAAACAATATGTCTATGCCTGCTACCTGGTAGAGTTTTAGGGCCAGTGAGCTACATCTGCTGCCCACTGTCCTTCTGAACCCAAGGTTTTTAGCTAATAGTGCCCGAGCCATATACTGTGTGTTCCTGCAAGCCCTCTGTCCCTCCCTGTCTCCTTCCATCCCTGTTTTCTAGAAGAGGCGGTAGTACAGGTTCTCTTCCCCATAGGCTGAAGAGGTGCTGGAGGGTTCTCTGCTGGTAAAGTATGGCAGCATAGGGGGAGATAGATTCGAGCTTGTTAAATAATAAACTAATAATTAAAATATTTGTTATATATGCATATTTAATATCCAGGCCTTGGAACCCAAGGCAGGGTAATTTGCAGGGGGATAGCTAATGAGGGTTTTGTCCCAACTATTCACTTTTTCCTCATTACACACCTAACTGAGCTGCTGGTGAAGCAAAGGGAAAAGGTAAGGTAGTCTGAGGAAGCTCATATCTTTCGCTATCCTAATATAAAACCTCTCTGCCAATGCAGCAGAGGCTTTAAAACGTAAATGAGTACAAACGAATTGCTGATAAATATGGTTTTAAGAAAAAGAAAATTATTAAATAACTGAACAGCTATTGAAATGCTCATCTTGGAAAGAATTGTAACCTGCAATAGGAATTTTATCAACCAATTGGAAACAATGCACTTTGCAAAAATGTTATTAAAAATCAAAAAGTCTAAACTTAATACATTTTTTAGAGTCTTGTTCTTCTGTGCTGAACTTCAGTTGGATTTTTGCTATGGAATTCGTGATAAAAGGCATATTTTATTGAAAGGGATTATTATTTCATTGGTAACATCTCTTTTGATATATTCATTGCCATTAAACAAAATTAACATTATTTTTTTGTCTCCAGAAAGATTGTTCACTAACTGAAATGCAAAGTAAAGCCAGAGTAAGAGTTGAAAGTTAATTCTAGACCTTTTGAATTATTTTTCAGGACAAGAAGCCTCTATTGGGAATTCGGCAAATCCTATTTTACCCATTCCACGGTGCAGAATAAATAGGAGGAATATTTTTGGAGAGACCTTGCTGCATAAAGCTGTTACTGATGAAGATATAGACCTTGTTTGTAATATAATAAAATCTGGTGCAAATGTAAATGTTTCGGATTATGGTGGTAAGTTGCAATTGTTGTTAAAAATAACCTATTTTCAGAACGGGTACCTGGATATAATTAATAAATGTGCATATTACAAATTTTTAATGACATACAATGAAGATAATATAGTTTTTTGGCTAGATAGTAGATTATTAAAGTTCTGATTTTTAGAAATTACCTTCTAACTGTTCATAAGAAAACATGTAGACCCTATATATAAAAGCATACCTAGAAAAGAAAAATTTCCTGAAAAAGTAAGTAAGTGCTCAGAAGCTTAAGAAATGCTGACACTGTTTACTCAGCCTTAATTCGACAATCTGTGCATGCTCATCACGTAATAGCTCTTTCATTAGGCAATCAGTGAAATATTTTACACATTTTTTTTTCATTTTTTCATTTCAGTGACTAGCTTGAGATTTCGAGGATTAGATGCCTCTTGCATGTTAAACTACATAGCTTAGAACTATTTTAATTCCTTTAATTTGTGAGTGCCTGATGTTTTTCATATTTTGTTTCATCTTGGGCACAAAAAAAATGAATGACAAGCAATGGCCAGCTGTGCACATTTTCAACAGTTGTCCATTTCCACAGTTCCAGTTTCATATGTGATACAATATGGCAAAAAGCGTACCTTTCCTGAAGTATCAGTTGGTTGTTTCAGCTGCCTCATTGGATAGAAAACTGTCCCTCTCACAGAGTGGCTGAAGACTTCAAAACTGTTTTGTGGGAACAGAAAGAAAAAAGAAAAAAAGAGATGTGCAATTAGTTATTGCATAATGCATGACTATAACCAACCAAAATTAAGTTAGAAGTTCTGTCTTCTGAAACCTACTGACTGACAGATTGATAGGATTCAGACTTTGCTGTTTGAGCTAGCAATGACCTCGGTGCTAGAGGTAAATGTAAAAAGGATTTTGTTCGTGGGTTTCGAAGCCATCTGCTGACAACAGAGCAATGTTAGTACCATGGGTGCGCTGCAGGCTTTATGGAGGAGTGCACTGAAGGGCACTGCTTCCAGATATTGACCTCTCTCCTGCTTCTTTTTTCTCCTTTTGCATCTTTTGCTGAGCTCTGGTTTCTTCATTCGCCAGACTCTGGCCGGTCTCTTTTGGTATGAAAGGAACACAAGTGCATGAAACGTGTTTTAAGTGAACCCTTTGAAGAGATGAGAGGCTGACCTGACCCTCCTTCTTTCTGTTCTGGTGAAGGAGGTGTAATCAGAAAGGAGTTGCTGGACCTGTGCTATTCTGAAATGTGCTTTCATCTCATGGGCTGGGAATAACTACTCAAATGGTTATATTCTGTCGCTGTGCCCTATTTCTTTCTTTAATGCCCTTCACTGGCAATTATCCATATCTTACACGAGGCTTTTTCTTTTCATCTGCCTCAGTGCTCTGCTTCAGTACCTTACTGAATTCCTGTTTGTTTGATTTCTTTTTCTTCACTCTCTCGCTGCCTGGGTATTAGTACAAGGGTTATAGAGAGAGAATCTACGTGCTCTCATTTTGAGTATTGATTCAGAGTGTCTAGAGGGAGCTGAAAAAGTTGTTGCAAGGAAAATTCTGCTTCTTAGTCTGGAACATGCACAGAGCCCTTAGAGAATCATGTTGCTAAACTCTAATGATTATCTATTAAACATGAGCTAGCTGCAATCTTTCAGAAGCTCATTATAGTATCAGGATACAGTGTAATATTTAATGGGAGAGAAATAGGCATCTTCACCCAAGTGAAATATCTTTCTCCTCTCCTTCCAAGATTTCAGGTTTTTGTTCCAAAATGCGAAATCACCAGATTTTATTAATGAAATAGCTTTAAGGCATTATAAATAGAAGTAAAATACTCTATAGGTGATGCTGTTAAACATATTCATATTGAAGCACTGTCAGTGTTAGACAGTATAATTAAACAGCTGAGTTTCAGGCAAGTAGGAGCAGCACCTTATAGTAGTAAGTTTTTTGTCAATCTAATGCAGTGTACTTTGCCCATAATAAACCAAATTCTGTACATAAATACATTATTCCAGGTTGCTTGATGGATAAGAAAGCCTCAGAAGCTTGCTTCTCGTTTTGACAGCATTAGAGATTTTCATTTAACAGTCTTAATAAGCAATCTATATTTAGTAAATGGTTCTATATTTAAATTTATTTGTAAATCTATATTTAACTCTAGATTTAGGATGTGCGTTAGGCCTGGCAGTCTTTCAGTAATGGGAGATGGTAGAAGAGGAAGGTGGTTCATCAAAATAGTTTTCTGGAGGGTGTGCTAGTTTGAGACTGCAGGATATAAATTGGAAGGTCTCCTGTCTTTTTTGCTTTTCTCACCCTACAGAACACTGTCACATAATGACTATTTAAATAGCTGATACAGGTCTAAGCAAAACCCAGTTCAAAGTCCATCATTTATTTTTCCTCAGTACCGTCTTCATGGGTGGAATCATTCTATGAGTCATAAAGATGATGAGATCTGGTAACTTTTTAATACACATTTCTTCATACAACTTACTGTAAAATCCAACAATTTTTATCATTTTAATATATATCTGAAATCCTGCTGGCACTTTAGGGTCATCTATTTGGTAATTTTTACGAAGTATTTTATGCAAATTTGAAATACAGGTTTCATTTGCCTGTTTTCTTCTTTCATAGGCTGGACTGCCCTACACAAAGCAAGCGTGGAAGGCCTTTATAGGATAGCAAAGGAGCTTTTGAAAGCAGGAGCTGATGTTAATGCTAGAGGAAGTAAAAAAATAACACCATTACAAGACGCAGTCAGAGAAGGTCATTATGAGGTATATTCCAATCTGTGTTCACAGATTATGGTTTAGGAATGCAAATTCTTGTTGTCAGTCCAGAAAGGCAGGTAGTGTTGTTACATAGGGGCTGATCTTTTCCTATTAGGAGTAAATTTAGGAGGTGTCAAGTCCTTTTTACCCTACTTCTGTAGGGTAAAACACACACTTTATAAGATTTGCAGCAGCAGAAATTGATTGTCTTTCCAACTGTTAGTGACAATGGGTGACATACAGAGGAATAGGTTACTGCTATTTAATACTAGTTATTTTACTTATTTTATATTCACATTGCAGAATCATTATATGACTTGAGCAGTTTTCTGGAGTTTTAATTATTTTTTTTGTTTGTTTGTTTTGTTTTGGTAAATTTGTGGTATGGTGTACGGCCACGCATGACACTTTCTGTGTATCAACACACAGCATGGACAACTATGAAAAACATGACTTTATATTTTATATGGTCTTAAACAAAATGTCAACTGAATGACCAATGTGAATTAGTCAGGATTCTTGTTGCCAAATGCGGTGGTTTCAGTTCTGGACCCTCTTGCAGTCTGACGCTGGTTTCTTGCATGTGTCTATGCATGTTCCTGGTGTCACCAAGATATATGCAGGAGTTCTGCATGTCTTGCTTGGCTGCTCGCTATTACCTTCTTTGAAAGGGTACGTTTACTGTCTAATACTTACTCACTTACGAGTTTTTAAATGTTTTGTGGAATGTATTAAGTTCTGTCTCTAAGTATTACCTCGACTGGGAAATTGAGAGAAAGGAAATGTTTAATCTGTTTTTCCTCAAGTCTCTCTACAGCAAAGAGCAACAGTAACCTTATGGTTAACGTTTTTTTCCAAGACTTGAGAAACCTGAACTTGCTTTCTCCTCTGCTCCATGTTCTCAGCTTGTGGAGTTCTGACTATTAAGGGTTCTTGAAATATTTCTCAGAGATCCATGAAGATACCATGGTCCATGGTTAGACATGCAGGGCTCTGCATCTCCATGGATAATTTTCAGGGGTCGGCAACTAGAACAATGTTGGAAACTATCATCTCATGGAGAGCATCAACATCATTCAGCACAAAGCTGTCTGAAGGAGTACATGAACTTGTGTGTACGCAGGGAAGGGTGCTGTAAGGTGGGACTGTGTTTGCTTGGGGAATTACTGCAGCAGCCTCCACGAGTTAGTTTTTTGTTGCTGCTGATTAGCCCAGGTAGAGCATCGTAGTGATTCAGTAATATGACTTTTGATACTCGGAGCTGTTGTTTTCAAAGTTATGTTCTCTGCATGGTGTAGTTATTGTTATAGATAAGAAATACATTTTTTGACTGCTTTATCCCTACCTATAATATGGCAAAATCTGATTTGCTCTTTCAGATTTGCTCTGATGTTAGGAGAATGTGTCGATGGAGAAAGAACTTCATTAGTGATCCTCTCAGTGAAAGACTGCTTAGAAATAATGAGGGAATTTTAATGCAGGGTGAAGGATGTGAGTCAAGCCCAGTCTGAAATGGTAATAGATGTTGAAGAGGGAGAAAGGCAGAGATACAAGCAAAAACATTGTAGAGTAGAATAAAATGGCAGGATTGGCCTCAGAAAGACGATCATCAGATGAAATTTTTTCCATGACTTCTAAAAGTATTCTACAGAGGTAGATGAAATGTTTTGATAGAGTAGTCATCTGCTTGAATAACAACAGGTTAGGCTTTACATATTTGTAAAGAAATTATAATGTCAGTAAGGAACTCTGGATGACTTTCATCTGGATTTGCAAGAAAGAAATAGGCACACCTAGAGCACAAATTGTTTTCTCCTGAAGCAGGCATCTTCAATAGGTGAGCTGACTCATCCCCTAAAACCATCATTTTTTTCCACCAATTAAGAGCTTAGGGAAGATGAATTCTACCCTTTGTTTGTTTTTTTTTTTTTTAAAAAAACCTTGGCTTAAGACTGGCATGTTAATCACTGAAACCAATTTATAAAAATGAATATAGTAAGATGTTACGAGAATGACACATCTAGGGGAATGCTTGGGACGTATTAACTGGAATAGGGAGGGAATATTTGGGATAAACCTTAGACTTCTTTTTAGTGGTTCATGGAGTTGTGCACATTAGAGAGAAGCCTATGCAAGGAAAAATACCTTTAGAAGAAAAACAATCTGAAAAACTTATTTTTCTAGTTGACAAAATTATTACTGTGGTATGGAGCTGACCCTTTATTGAAAAATGAGATGGGAAGATGTGCATTAGAAGAAGCTTCTGACCAGTCTATGAGGAACCTACTTAAAAGCTACATAGCAAAATCTGGAAGAGGTTTAGAAGAGATACCAGGTAGGAATGAAGTCTTCTGGCATACTCATCACTATTAAATGGAGAATTTGAAAAAGTCTATTTCACTGTATTTCTTTAATTGCAACTAATAATTCATTGTCTGATGCCTGAGTTTGTGGTACAGAGAGGTGCCATAAGGCTACTAGGAAGACTTTATTAGATATTTTAATATGTATTTTATATGTTTATGCTTTTTTTATGGTATTTTATATGTTTATGGTTTTAAAACTCGAAGGGTTTTCTCTATTTTCTGGCTGGCTATAGGTGGTTGGTGCTATTCTTACAAGATTCTGGGAACAAGATCCAATATGCATTCAACAAAAGATTATTGTCCTTTATCAGTACTTGTTGCTTGTCATCTCTCATTTTCTTTTCAGCTGCAGAGGATGCCGAACGTATGTTAAGTGCTCGTAGTTCAGACCATACCGGCCTGCACCAGGTACTTCTTTAAAGGGATAGATGTTAATTGGGTAGGCTGCTATGGGCTTCAGTAAACTAAAGCAGAAGAGTGTTTCCGAAACATGTTTCAAAAATAATGCCTAACCTACTCAGTGCTTAACATGCACCGAGCATGGACTGAAGCAAGGTTAACATTGCGCAGATTCTTAGGCAAAGAGCAGCAGATGCCTACTCATCTAGCTGCAGCCTTGTGAAGGCGCAGGATGCATCCTCTCACTGGCAGTGGTTCCTGTTGAGCTTTTGCAAGTGCTGCAAAGACAGTTTACAAGAAGGATGGTACCTTGGTGCCTCCTGGGACTTGCAAAAACCTGACTGAAGTGACCTGTTGCCTAAATGGTAGTAGCAGAAAAACTTCTTGCTTCCTGCCTGTGTGCACTAGGTTGTTGTGTTTGTTTTGTGTAGAAAAGGATAAGGGAGCTTCTGCCTTGCAGAGGGGTTGCCTGGGTCTGCACCTGAGAGGCAGAGCTCCCTGAGCTGTGGGAGCTGCTGCTTCGCAGCAACGGGAGGCACCCTGGGAAGCTGCCGGGCACTGCCTTGTTGGCTCTACCGCGCAGCAGCTTTTGGTGCTCGCAGAGCTTAAAGCCACATTCTCTCTCTCCCATTTTCTCCACTTTGAACACTGATAACTGGTAATACCTGAAATGCATAGTGCACCGCACAGATGATTTTTTCCTCCTCAGTGGGAGAATTCAGGTAGCCACATGCCATTAGAGTAGTTCTGTGGCAAAATAGTGAAGAATTAGTAATTCCTATTTTTGCTGTGTTATTTTACCTTATTTATAATTTGCTGAGCTCATTGCAGAGAGGGTTTCCCAGAGGATTTAATTATTAGAAGGCAGAATGTTAAATTGAATTCAGATAAATTTTAACAAATAAATAAAAATGTAAAGCATTAAGTAATATTTTGATTTCACTCATTAATTTTTACACGTTTACATATGTGCTTGTCAGTTCTTTAATTTCTCTCTCCTGTTCTCTTAATAAGTTGCACAAGCAGAGGAAAGCAGCTTATATTACAATAGAGCAGTTTTTTTCATTGTATAATAAAATAGTTTACCCAAAGTAAAATGAATTATATGTTATTTTCTAGACAGAATTAAATGTGGATGGCACAGTTCAACATGATCATACTAAGGCATCAAAGGAAGGCTTTGCGAAAAGTGACCAAAGCAGAAAAAAAAAGAATTTGGTGACATATACAAAAAATAAGGTTCTCCAGGATTTGGAAGACAATGGACTGAATGAAGAAAAATCGAAAGATACAAATTCAGATTCAAAAAAGACAGATAAATCTGTTATTGATATGACAGAGGCTGCTGCCAAGAGTAAAATTACTGAGAAAAATAATAAACATGAAACATATGTATCTTCTGTACATCCCACTACAAACCAAGGAACAACTGAAAAACAGAAAGCAGTTTTCCCTGATGTTAGACCTAATGAAATGAGCTTCAGTGTAGGTATTTATGATCATAGTTATTGCAGAACCATTGATGTTGAAGGAAAAGTGAGTTTACCAAATCAGACAGAAATGCAACAGGACTATGGATTCAATAGTGGTAACAATGGAAAAACCAACCGTTCTCCAGAAGAATGGAAAACAGACAGTGAAAGCACTGCAAGTTTCCTCATTACAGGGAAGGAGATGAACAATTGCCCAACAGCATCAGTGTCTGCAGAAAGAATGTCCCTGAAGCAGTCTGAGTCTACTGATGTAACAGAACCTTGTTCTGAGACAATACTTTCCACAGCTTTGCCTCATGGCATGTCACCTTCCCAGTTACAGCAGGCAGTCAAAAGTCATGAGAGTGATCAGCATAGTCTCAAGCAGACTAGTAAAGACAGCTTGAATGGCAGGAATCTAAATAGTGGTATGAGAACAAATTCAGAACAAGTTAAATCTGATGTGGATGGAAACAAAATTAGTGGAGAGTCTCCAAGCTCAAAAATTTCCTTGCCCCTGTTGCAAGAGATTTCTTTACAGGTAGATGAGTCAGAATCAGCATGTGCAAATCTTAGTGATTCAGACAGCACAGATATATCGCAGCAGACTACGGCAAATGGGGTGCAAAACATTTTTACAAATATATCTGAAGAGGGAATCTATTGTACTCAACAAACATTTCAAATAACTCCAGAAACGCTGTTACCACATGAACTCTTAGCATCTACCAATGGAGAAGGTGTTTCCAAAAGTCCTGTAAATTGCAGCGGTAGGGTGCTAAAGGGCTGTAGGGTTTCTCACTGAAACACCTGAAAATACCATCAGTTCAGAGATGAGGTCTACAGCTTTACAGCTCCCAGAAAAGGAAGCACTTCAAAGAAAAAAAGAGGATCTTCAGAAGACCAACCAGAAAGCAGATTTTCATTTGGGTATTAATGCAGACAAGTCTGAGCAGGAAACTTCCCAGAAGACAGGTGCCTTGTTTTGTTTGAAAATAATTAGTTTAGGAGTTTTCTGAAAATTTTATATAAAAAAATGCAACTGTGGATCTCTAGAGTGTATATATCACTATAAATAAATAGCAAAAACATGGAAGAGGCTGTATTACAGTCTCCCATGCCAGATGAACTATTTTGTGATCTATATTTTGTGGGGCTGTTCTGTATGCAAGTCCAATTTATCAAAATGCAACCAAAATATTAATTACATTAACAAGAATGAAATTCTTAATTCCTTATTTTTTTAAATACTGAGGAACAATAATTGCCTCTTTCACAAAGAATCTTTGAACTCTTGAAATCAATTTCAATTTCAGTAAATAGTGGATAATGTATTTATTATATTGGAAAGATTTTCAAAAATTGAATTGAATGAGTTACTGCAGGGATATTTTAACCAAAAGTAGGTGCTCATTTTGGTAATAATTTTTGATATCAGCTGCTGTTTCTGAAATTACTGAGTGTTATGCCACAAGATACTCTCAGTTCTTTTGTTCAACCAACAGATGAAGAAGTGTTTGCTGAAAGAACTGGAACAGAAGACACTGAAAAAAACAAAGAAGAAAGAAATGCAGAGAGTGATGTGCTCTCACAGTTTACTGAAACAGAGGCAATCCAAACTAAAAGAGTAAAATTAGACCCTCGGGAGACAAGCCAAAAGACAGATTTGTGTTCCAGTGGCAGTAAAAGCAAGGTTTCATTGAATCAATCACAGTTCAAACAAGGATCAAAACAGAAAACATCTAAGAAACCAGGTGAAAAATTAATGATATTTTATAAGGGCTTTTTTCTTCCAGACATATAAGAAGAAAACTTTTTAGTACATGAGCAAGAAGGTGTGGAAATATCTTTATAGCAGGTAGAGCAAATACTCCAGTGAGTTTCAAATTCCTGAAATATTGCTGAAACATCTGTACAGAATTCACATACTTGTTGTGTTTTATTTATGCTGTGTTCATCATCCTTTTCAGTGTGATAACTTAAAGGGCTGTAGAATCATAAATGAGAGCTCAAAGTAGGGTCCAATAGGTCATCAGCTAACTACTTTATGTACAGTAGAATAAAATCTGTCTCCTCCATTCTTTGTATTTGGCAGAAATATATCCACTTATGTTTTAGAAATCATATCCTCAGCAGTTACAAATCATCATAGGCTCTGGTTGTTTTGATAGCAGTTTTAGTTCTAGCTGTGCTGTACAAACTTACTTGTATATGGATAAAGGATCTAGCGTTTATTTCTGACAAGTATAATTGCTTATACCTGCACATTTTCTATTTGGCAGTTTTGTCCTGTGTTTAAGGCCTGTATTTATCTTTGCTAACCTAGATAAAGCTCAGATCCTATGATTACTGATCATAACCCACAGGTGTTTTTCTCTCGCTCCGCTGTTTGATAAAGCTGACATGCCTCTTGTGTATTTTGTTTCTTTCTGGAATTTCCATAGCCCTCTCAGACTTAGAAACCTTTTCTCTTAAAACTCTTGGATGCAATGTATCTGGACTGCTGATTCTAAAAGCATTAATCTTCCTATCGTCTGGGATTCTCATTAACTTGTACTGAAATTAAAAGAAAGGTGTCAGTAGATGATAGAAACACTTTATGGCACTTTGCCTTGATACACAATAGAGCATTTGTCCTTTTTGATTATCTTAGACTTTTTATCATTTGTTTATAATCATTCTAAATTTGGGGAAGATTTTTAAAAATTGTCTTCTTAAAATCTTAGTTGGTCATGACTCTTTCCTTGTTGTTTTTTTGTTTGGTGGGTTTCATTGCCCTTTTCCGCAATTCCATATTTATAGTTGCTGTTCAGTCCTCATTTTTTTCATTTCTCACTTACCGATGCTCTACAATTCCATTCCTAAGATAGATTATTTTTTGAATCAATGTAGCTTTTTGTCTTGAGTGTGGAAAATGTGAAACATTTCGTAGTTATCCATATTTTTATACTGAGATTTTTTTCTGCTGAATGGTTTTTAGTTATAGTTGCTTCAGCTTCATGAAACTGTGCTTTTAAAGAGCTACAGTGTCAGTGTAAATGTGTGCTTGGTATATAGGTACATGAGAAAATGTATATTAATGATAGAGATTTATAGAAGTATGAGTGAATGTATATGACATTCAATTTTTTTTAAGCGTATTCACTTTTTAAAGAGGATTTGGCTTCAAAAAATTTACTGTTTTACTTGTGCTACAATTACACATTACTGTGTTCTATGGGTCAAACTTTGGTCAGATTGTCTCTGAGTGGAACATAACTTCATACTAGCATTAGTTCATATATATTTTGAAACTCAATGGGTTTCTTGCTCCTACATTGTATATGTTTAAAACAGTGTAATAGCAACTATGCACACCCACCCTTACAGTCTCTTTCTCTCACAAACACACACAAAATATGGATACCTCCACAGGCATCCGACTGAGATGCTCCTTTATTTCCCCCCCCTTTTTTTTTTGTCTGCTTAATACCCTCCTGACTGTTCTACAGAGAATGGTACTTTTCCTTCTTTCTGAGGCAGAGATAAACCAACCTTCTAAGCGTTGTGTTTCATTGATGGTGGCATGATATTCCAGAAAAATGAGACTGCTTATTTTGTTCGTGGAACAGAAAGGATTTGTAAGGATTGTCAGAAGATTTTTTTAGATGTTCTGTTTTTCAGCATTTTGTCAGGTTATTTGAAGTTGTCTGTGATATAGGAAGAGGCCAATAATACAGCATTAGTACTGCAAATAATAGATATAGTGTTACTATTGATTTCAAAAACCTGCCTTTCAGAGCTATATTGGTTTAATTTCTGCAAAAACTATTTGTGTTTTGCAGGTTATTATTTCCATCTCTGTCTTCTCTAGCAAGGATTATTTTCTGGTTGGGAACTTTTGTCTGGCTGCTTACAGGACTTGTATGTCAAATTAAGGAGTCATCAGTCAGTCTCTGCCTTGCCCTGTAGCGCTCACCATGCCATGGCCAACACTTTCCTGGATATCCCCAGCTACGTGAAGTTCTTGCCAGTCCTTGTCTCTTTGATGGTCACAGGCTTCTTTTCCTCTTCTGCTTTTAGCTGTACAGAATGTGGTTTCCTTTTCCTACCTCAGGTCATAACTTGTTTCTTGTTTGCATATTGGCTACTATCTCCTTGATTTTGGAGGTGGAGGAGAGGAGGAAAAGAGCAGGTGCTTCCTCTTGTTATTTGCCCTCAGCTTCTGCAATATTTGGCAATGCCAGCACCTAACTTCCCCGCTTCCAACTTGCTTCCTCTTGTTGTAGGATTCCGTTGTTACTTCAACTCTCTCTGGAAAGAAAGGTGATAAATGTCATCACCTGCTATTAATTACTGCAAGAATAAACACTGAACATAGAAATAATTTCCTTCTCTTTTTGCAGCTTCTGTCTATTCCTGCTCCATCTTGAGCTTGATTTTTATTGATAGATCTATAATGCATCTGTATTTATTTTATGTACCCATAAATATGTGGGGTGTTTTCCCCCTTTTTTTCCTACTATGAATACAGTTCTTAAAAAAAAAAGCATGGGTCTTGCATTGTGATCTTCTCTGGAATATCATTTCACAGGTCACCTTTTCCACAAGGGAAATTCTTCACATAATAGTTTATTTAGCTATAATTTAATTATTTCCATCATCCCAGAAGAAGGTAACTGTTTGGAAGGTCATGGGGGAAAGTGTGGCCCTCTGTATAGCTTTGGAAACAGGGGCAGTAACATTCAGCTTGCAGCAGGGAAAAAAAAATAAAGAAGAAAAAGAAAAAAAGACAGGATAATGTTTCTTGACTTGGGCAATTCGTTGTTGTTGTTGTTGTTGGTAGTGTTTTTTTTCTCTGTGTCATTCCTCTTTGTCATTAACTGGCTTTTGTATCTTATCTGATTGTCCTCAGTGGTCTTCTTTACAGCATTCTGTTCTTGAATAAAAATCTCTTCTTCTGAAGTCATCACCTATGCAATGTCACCTCGCCTGTCTACAGTCAGTCACCTCCTAAATGACTAGGTTCTGTGTCTTCCTGCTCCACTTATGTATAGAGGAGAGGTACAAACACCTTGGTTCTTTTCTTACAGTTTGAGCTATGAAAAGAATTACTCGTCAACCAGTGGTAAAGTGTCTGTTTAAAGCATGATACCCCTGAAATACAGTACTCCAATCTGGTCCAACTGCTGCCTGCAGCAATCTCTCCACTTTGCCTTTGTACACACACTCCCTGGATTTTGTATTTGCCAAGTTCCTGATGGTGCCTCCTGCCCCGCCTGGCAATGCACTCTGTAGAGAGCCGGGCCTTTAGGATTCCCATAACAATGTCCCTCCCTCTTTTGTAAATGTTTCCTGGCAAATGTGAAGAAAACTCTTATGCAAGACAACTTAATTGGAAAGCTTTGTAATTATTTCTGTTCACTTGCAGCCAGTATTGCTGAGGGTCATTAGCTTAATGGGCTGTTGTGGGCCTTCTTTTTGCCTGCCTCTCCAAGGAGTCCCTAGGACATTCTCCCATGAATCAGAGGGGACAAGAAGTGAGAGAGCAGGGGAGCAGGTGATTGCTCTGGGAGTCCTGACCTAGAAGCTTTCAGACAAAATACATTATCTTACAGAAAAGGAGGGCTCAAATTGGAGGAGCGTGTTGAATAATGTGAGCTCTCTACATGCTCTAGAATCTCAATTTTCATTCTAAAAAGAAATCTTCATGTAGACCCACTATAATGTGGGCCAAGTGTAAGCATGCAAAGATGGGTGCCTGAGTGCTTTCTGGCAGGTTAAAATAATCTCCTCTCAACTCCATGCTGCTGTGCTCCAGCTGCAGCAGTACCTGAGCAAGCCAGTTTAGAATTAGGATGGATATAATCTCGCTGTTTGTCAGTCTTCAACATGTTGCAGTGTGTCTCTAAAATGTTTCCAGGCAGTCTTGGGTGACAAGCTTAGTACTTTAAAGGAAACCTTGGAAAAGGCAAGAGTAACTTAGAAAAAGTCTGCTGTCAAATCACGGAAAATTTTTGATAGCAATAGATACTGATAACTGGAAATATTTGAGGAGACAGCTTGTCTGCTGAGAAAAAGAAAAGTTCGGGATGCAACAGCAGTAATTGTTCGTATGAAATTGAAAACACTTATGCAAAAGTTTACAATCCCATTTATTGAACAAATTTTCAAGAAATCAGACAAAGAACCCGCTGATTTTCTTTTTTTTTTTTTTTCCCAATATTAAAGAGGCAGAAACAGAGGCAAGAAAAAAGCTAACATGCATGGCAGATTCACCCGTATATGTACTTTTTGGTAGCAGTTTTTTAGACAGGGAATGAGGGCCTGTCCTCACTCTATACGAGGACTCAGTGAGTGGGTTTTTAAAATCAGTTATTATCTTTTTATCTCTTACAGTTTTGTTTGTTGTCTTTTTATCTCTTGCAATTTTGTTACTTGAGCTCTGAGGGGTAGCTTATTTTTTGAGAATCGTGTGATGAAATTTCAAGCAGATGTCCTCTGTTTTGGTGAACCTGTAAGAGAAGGGTTATTTCAAGTTTATTTTGAGTCATGACTTTAATCATGAACGGGGTGAAATTAAGAGGCAGTTGAGCTATGTCAGTCCCCATTTGTTGAAGATTTGTATGGTTTTGTCACACCACAGCTGCAAAAAACACAGGATCGTAGAATCACAGATTGCTTAAGGTTGGAAGGGACTTCTAGAGATTATCTAGTCCAACCCCCCTGCACAGGCAGGGTCACCCAGAGCACGTGGCACAGGAAACCTTGCATATACCTTGCAAACTATACCTTGCATAGAAGCATATCTTTTGCTGAATGCAGGGTCAGGAATGGGAAAGAGGTGACAGTTAGGTCTTCACTTTTATATGTTTCCTTAAATAACCCTTATCTGTATGCTTTATGTATCTAACAGGCACGCCTGGTAACTTTAAAAGAGTCCATGAAGAAGTGTGACATACTCACTACCTTCATATAGTGTAAATTTGCTCAATGTTGCTTAATGGCCTTTTTTATCCTTAATCTCTTACACTATTGTTAAATCACTTAGATCTGAAATGTAAATTCTTTGGCAAAAGGTCTGTGTGTTGTCTGATATATTATGCAGTACCTGCTTAATGCAGTCAATTAATAGTAATGAATAAGTAAGGAAAAAGTATTACACAGATTTACGTTAGTGCAAATGAGCTAGGAAGGTTAATTCCTTGTTTATAATGAAATAATTTTAATTGTTCCTAATGAGAATCCAATATGTTTAGAACGGGCAAAAAAAGAAGCTCTAGTTTCACATGTGGCCTATCAGACAAGAGTTCGGACAAAGAAGAGAAATGCAAAAGGAGAAAATCAGCTACATATTGCTGCTATCAGAGGAGATTTGTCTTTGGTGAAAACTCTAATATCAGCTGGAATTTGTGTCAATGAAAAAGACAATGCAGGTTTGAGTATTTCTCTCTAATGACTTGGTTTGAGATATAGTTAGTATATAATTTTGCGTAATTTCTTACAGCTTGTATAGTTTCGTATAATTTATGTATTTTTATATAATTATGGGCTCTTGATTTGTGATATAATTGTGGTGATTCTTGAAACAATGCAACTGTAAAGCTTTAAAAGGTGTTGGCTCTTCATTATTGTTATTTATTCTTGAATAAGAAGCGTAGATTTTTTTTTTACAAAGATTTCAATTTCAGATATTTTATAAAAAAACTGTCAAAGAACACGATTTTTTTGAGCATACATGTATTTACATATGTAAATTTCGGATTGAATCCAGACTTTTCAAAGTGGGGAGAGGATGGGAAGAAGTATTTGAGGAGCCCAAGCGCAGCCTTTCCTCAGCAGAGGCTTTAGTGAGCCGGGCTCCTCTGCGCAGGAGCCTGGTGGCAGAGAGCGAATCGCCAGCTGGGGCAGGTGGCAGCTCTGGGCACTAGGAAACTAGGAAACAAGATGGGAATCAGCTTGGCTGGTTTTCTGAGTGTGCTGATGCCCTCTTCTATTCGTATGTCTGTGAAGCACAATCAATCACACACACCTTATTTCTTCAGGAAATAAGTCTAAAAATCAACTTGCAAGATTATTTTTCCCTCTTTATTCCTAAATGTAGATTCCTAAATGTTTTGTAGTCTCAGAATGGGTGCCGTTCCATTCTGGATTCCCGGCACGCTTGATATCACAACATGTCACTGGAATTAGAAATCAGATTATTAATATAATGCTTCTGAGTTTTTATATTCTTCCTACTCTGTTGTTTTATTTTTTGTTGTGTAGTAGAAAAGTAAACAGTGTTTTTCCAGTTAGTACTGGATGCATTTTTCTCTGATGTAAACTAAAATAGACAAGAAATAATTCAGTATTTTAGGATTTCTTTGTTTAGAATTTGCCTAAAAGAGAGTAGTCTGACATTTGTTGTACGTTAAATACAGCAAAGTATGTAATTGCTCATTGACAATCTGTATGATTTTTTTCAAATCAGCTGTGTGTTTTATATGTCATCTTGCTTTTATTAGGCTGGACAGCACTTCATGAAGCTTCTGTCAGGGGATTTACTGAGGTGATGTTAGAGTTGCTGAAAGCTGGTGCTAGTGTTAACTGCAGAAGTCTAGATGGTGTTTTGCCAATCCATGACGCTGTTTCTGGCAACTATTTGGAGGTACAGTACTTTTGCAGTAGTTTTCTTGGGCCTAACTTCCAGAAGAGGGCAAGCAAAGAAAAGTCCTCATTTAAATAAGGGAAGTCAAAGTTACCAATACAATTATAGTGTTGGTTTGTGCTTAGGAAATCAACATTCTCTTAAGTAATTAACGTTAGATGAAGAATTTTTCTTCAGCAGGTAGTTGATTTTTAAGTCCATCCGTCCATCCTTATTCTCCCCCCTCTTCCTCACCCCCCAAAAATCAGAAATCTCCTGCTAAGTAACACTGAAACCCACAGTATTCTCAAATTAAGTCATGAAAAGATGTAGGTATTTTTAAATAGATGTGTAGATATTTTCCCTTTAGAAGAAATTAAAGCAAATGTAATTAACCTCACAGAACTTACTTTAAGAAGAAAATGAGAATGTTTGAAGAAAGCATTAGATCTTTTTTTTTTCAAAATATGATCTTTTCAGACAAACATGAGTGTCAGTTTTAACCAAAATTAATGAATAATACCTGTATATTTTGGAAACTAGACTCAGTTTAATCAGAAGAATTTCAATAAACTTTGTTGAATACATCTCCTTTTGAAAATTTTGGGGTTAAATACATGTACCAGAAGATAAAACAGTGGCTTATGAGAGCAGGGACCTTTTGCAGGCCAGTAAAAGAGGCAAATCTTTATGAGTTATTAAAAAATGACTGATTTTCAAATAGGTTTTTTTTTTCCTCTTTACATGAAATCAGGAGTAGCTTTGCTGAAGTGAAGAAAGCAGTGCAGTAATCAAAAAAAAAAAATAGACCTCTTATTTAAAAAATGCATTCAATCATAATTTTTCTCTTCTGGTAAATTATTCTGAATTTTTTTTGGCCTTCTGGTTTAAAAATATTTCAGTTTACTGTGAAGGAAATTTGTCTCAACTTACATCCTATTTTAAGAGCATAGGATAAATTGTTATGTCTTTTGAACAAGGCAAAGGATACATTTTAAGATCCCTTAACACTGCGTGCGTGAAACCTGCCAGTGGCCACGCTCCGACTGGTTGTTTTTAAAGAGCCAGCTGTCAAAAACGTATTTCTGGGAACAGTTCCAATCAGAAAATAATCCTACATGGGAGAGCCTTGCTGATGTTGCCTTGCAGTTGCATTTAATTTGTCTGGGTTATTTCCCACTTTCATTTCAGTGAGAATGTAACAAAATTAGCAAAGGAATGAGAAAATCGTTGCTATAAATAAACATTGCATCTGATTTTTTTTTCCCTATATTTAAAACTCACGGGTGTCTATAGGCACTCAGAAAGCTCAGGGAGCTGAAATACCTACACACTAATCCTACAAAAGCAAGGCTTTGTTTAGATCAGCTCCCTAAACCAGCTGAAGAACCATGTCAGTGTAAGGGGAGGTCATGGGGCTGTGTGGCCCCTGGCAGAGGTGGCAACCCCAATACAGACCAGTGTAGGTGGCCGTGGGGCTGAGACCTCTGTGCCCCTGGGTTCCCCAGCCTGGAGACCTCCCCTGTGCAGCCTGGGGCTTCCTCTGAGCTTGGGAGCTGAGAAACATCAGTCAGGGGAGCTGCTTTAGATCCCCCCTTTGCTTGGCCAAATGTCTGCCTTTATTTGAATGAACAAATAAAATATTTTGGCACAGTCAGTTGTAGGGAACTAAAAAAAAAATAGCCAGATTGGCTTAAATGTACCACCTCTATTCTGATTTTTCATCATACCTTTTCAGTGAGGAAAGGTAAAATGAAGGAGATGATTTCACAGGCCTGGTATCTCTCAGTAGGGTTCTTAAACATTTATTATTCAGTATTTTTTTTTGTTTGAAACCAGCAAAGAAGGTTATGACTGATTACTGCACTGTTCTAAAGACAGTACAAAAGATTTTGAATGTCTGTAAAGTATTCTTCTTTCTGACGCTTACCAGCACTCTGAATATTCATCACATATCCAAAATACAAACATAGGATAGAAGTGGAAGTGCTAAAGATGGGAAATGATAATACAAAAATTCTTTAACTTCCAAACTCTGACCCTGTCAATACTTTATTTATGAGCTGAATTTTAAGGGATAGTTGGTTCTACTGATACTGCTAATATTATTTCCACATTTTAAAACTAAGCAGAGCTGTACAGGTTGGACAGAAATCTTCAGTGCGTGTAGCTGAAAAACACAATGACTATTAAATGTCTGGGAAAAAAATCACTTATTTTCTGTACTTTATCCCGTTTCTTTTAAGTTAAATCTTTCATGTTTCCTAACTGCTCTCTATAGCTATATCTTAAAGATAGTAAGCTTAACAAGTTGTGAAATATTTGTGTATTTTAATAGAAAATTGAAAGTGTAAAATGCAAATCTGTTCTGTTAAAAAGCCAGTTAAACCATTTAGATTGAATTGTGAGTGTAAATGTAACAGATTTTAGTATATCTTATTTGAATCTTTATTATTCATAGCTCATAATAGATACAATGCACATAGTTGTATGATATGATATGTACACAACACAAATAACTACAATAATACAACACAAATAACTAGCAATATATAATAGGCAGTGAGAATTCTACTGCAACATGAAGCAAATCCTCATGAGAGAGATGATTCTGGTGAAAATGCTCTGGATAAAGCTCATAATGATGAAATGAGAGAACTGCTTGAGTCTTTCGGTGCTATTGACTCTGGACATTCCTTGGAAACTATTGGGGTTGTAAGTAAGTTTGTTTTCACAATGCAAATCCTAGGTTGCTACTGTAGTCTCAAGGAAAGCAATAAAATTAGGATGTTGCTGATTTGCAGAGCGGCATCTTTCCTGACCCTGATTTTTTTTTAATTTATCAATTCTTAGTTATTGTTTATTTGTAGACAGAAAATAGGATATGTGATTTTTCCCTCTGGAGAATCTGAGGAGCAAGGGCATAATTGGCTCCATAGATTTTCTTTATCTTCCATATTTTCCTTTTCATGAACCTTGTATTTTTGTAAAAAGTATTAGTACCTTCAAGGACTATTTCCCTAGACTACCTATATTTGATTTCATTTACATGTGCAAGATATTTTCTCATTATATAATCTGCTATTGCATCTTTGTAACCTGTATTAGCTAATCTAACCTGTTATGCTACTGTAATTTGTTTTTAAATTATATTTATTCTTTCTTAATTATGGAGAGAGGAAATATAATCATGCTACTACATCAAGAAGATCAAAGCTTATTTGTAATGACTACTGTAAAAATGGTGATGCAGCTTTGGTGCCACAATATGAGAAATGCAGTGTGGTAAGTATGAAAAATAGAAGAGCTTTGTAACACTGCTTCACAATGTAGTACTGTATAATGTCATTTACTGACTGAAAATATTAAAATATCATTAAAATAGTTAACCCTTTGGAGTCTATATGGAGACCAGCATCATGCAGAGTAAGTGGTTCCTCGCAGTATAGTTTGTAAGTTTATGCATTACCACTTCTCTGTATTCATGATTCCTACACATTTGAACTTACTGTAGGAAAACACTTACATACTTTTGTTATTGCTCCTATGAATGGAAAAAGGTCAGCAATCCTGAAATTCTCATCAGATTTTCAAAATGCTTCTTTGGAAGTGTAAGGATTTTTTTTTCATGAAAATGAAAATATCTAGAAATAGTCTAATCAGGGACTGTAATGTGTGGTGCATTTATCTCTACCTCTTAGAATTATTTCTCTATTTGTTAGCATGAGTCTGATGCTGCCATACAAGATACAGAACAGAAGCAAAAGGAACTGTTCCTACTTGAACTGAGAACTTCCAAAGATGCAGGTAGAAGTAAATTCAAGCTGCTTTAGTGTTTTTGTTTTTTGTAAATTATCTGCTAATATTGTTTTAAAACCAGTGAGCATCTCCTTTTGGAAAATACAAGAGTGTAACATTTTAATAACAAATATAGGTACAGAAGTATTTCTGTTTTACATGGGAATGGGTATGATAACAAGAAAAGGAAGCATGCCACCTGGAGACATGCAAATAATAGTATGTGTTTCAGATGCATCTGATGGTCTGGAAAGGGATCATTAGGTAAGAACTGTTGGCTACACTGCTTAGTCAGGAGTACCTGGGATTCTGCAGGAGCCTCTCCTTGGCCAAGAGCGGCTTTTTCGGTATATGCAACAGTGGGTGCAGCAGTGGATTTCATTATAGTGTGGCTGCATTTTCAAGGTCTAAAAATAATTTCTGAAGTAAAAAAAAAAAAGAAAAATCATAAGCATTGTAGATGATGGGTAGTTTCGGAGATGCTGGTGCCCGGGGATGTCATTTGTCTTAAGTTATCAAGCCTCAGTTCAGATTAGTCTCCAGCGCCTCCTAAGTGACACTGACTCCCTGGGAGATCACAGTGCCTTTTGTAAAGTCTCTCTCCCTGACTGCCTCTGTCAGCTGGCCATGGCTTTGTAGGTTGGAGCAATTGTGGCCTGTGAAAATATTTCCCCCTGACAGAAGGGAGGTTCCTTAATTCCCTCTGCTGCCCTTTCCAAGTCTACTTCTAAGTTATTTTCTGCTACTCAGAGCCCGGATCTGTGACTGTGTTTGTAGGATCTGCTGTAGTTCCCCAGTTGGAAATAGCTTGGAGCTTTCAAACTGCTCAAATTATATTTCAAATAGTCATCCTTTTTAAAATAACTGTGAAATATGAAGTTATGCAGCTGTATAGCTTCCAAGTCAAATCTATGCAGTAGGAAAAGTAATCAAAATCACTTGAAAAAGTTCTTGAAAAAGATGTTTGACAAACAGATAGATGGTATAATATGCCGAGGCCTGTATGTCTGGAAAAGCATTTGTGCATGATAAGGCAGAAACAGATCTATGCAATTCCCTGAATCAGGAAAAGAAAAACTATCAGACTTTTCCTGTATAGGTGTGTGAGAGAAGTGAGTGTGGTGATCTGTAACCATTATTGGCAAACCCATTCACATGGTTTCACAAAACCATTCTGGTGCCTCTCAAATAAAACCACAGCTGTTGCCTGTGAGGAGGCCAGTGAAACTGAATGAGACCACAGAAGAATACAGAGTTTTACAATATGGAATATAAATCTCAAGGTGTTTACATGCATACACTATGCTCTAAATAATAGAGCCTTTCTCTATTAAGCTACTTTATTAAGAGAACTATTTTAATATTTTTCTATTTTAATAAATAAGTAGATGTTTGTAGGTATCATGAAACAGCTTTCTGGAAACATTTTATAAATGTCTTTTTAAGTCCTGCAATTTCCTCCTTTTCAACAATAATAGAAATCTTTAGTTTCTTAATTGAGAATTTAAATAAATAGATTATAGGCATTTAGCTTAGCATATTATTCTAGTGCTATCCCCTAGACATGACTGCTAAGCTTCCTGTTATGTTTTATGTCTAAGAAAAGAGACATAAGAGACATTCTTTAGACATAAGCCTAAAGAAGAATTTTAATTGATGTTCTGTTTAATGTTTAATTGCTGCAAAGAAATGTAGCTAACACTGAAGGAAAATTTATAAGCCATTTTCATTTTATAATATGTAAATGAAACTGTGTAAAACTGTGGTACATGTCTTTCTAGCACATACCTGGAACAATCTTAGCTCATCGAACTATTTTATAATTCTTAAAACATAAGCGTTTTAGCCACTTTCTTAAGACTGCAACCTCTGCAGGTAGGCTCTCATATAACTGTCATGTTGTACAGTTTCTCACAACACAAAGACTTTCAGAAAGTTTTAGAGCTTATCAACCATCCAGTAGTGCTTTTATCTGCCCTGTTCTCTTAATAACTTCCTAAATGAGGCTCTTGATCATCAAAATTTTCTAGTACTTGGATTACTTACCTTTAATGTAAGTTTGTATTCCATTTTTCCTATGAAGAATTTAATTAAAAGTACTTACATGTAAATAGCTTTTAAAGTGCATGAAAGTATCATCTAATGCTATAACAGTATGTTCATTCTTTGGCTGTATACTTGCTGCATCAAAAATGTTATAATTATTCTCTGCTTTTTATTGCCATCTTCATTTTGGCTATGTCAAAATATGGACAGATGCATATATCCAAAAACTGTCTCAGATACAAGATACTTTGAATGAAATGCTTTCAAAACAGAAAAATGAAAGGGATGCACTTGCTAAAAAATACAGGTAGGTAGAATACAAGGTTTGCATTCATAGAAATCTGTCCTTTTTTAAAATAGAGCAACACTGATTAGGTTGTTAGATATTAAGTTAGAGACTATAAGGTAACAGGGAGGAAAGCTTTCGCTAAAGTGTGATTCATATTAACCTCACTTTCCTGCAATAAGACTGCACATCAAGGAAGAACTTCAGGATTTAGGTAACTCACGTTAATCATTTACTGTACACTCTGTAAGCCCTACTTTTAGGTAGTGAACACAACAAAAGCTGAAAGAAAAACTGTAGCAGAAATTAGGGGGTGGCGGTGTGAGCAGTTTCATTTGACTTTTGCAGCATGATGAAGGAAAGTGGTAACAACTCACATGCTACCTTGACTATCCCTGTCTCCAGCAGGGAATGTTTTTTTAGCAATCCTAGCCTGCGAGTGATCACCCAGCAGCTCTCAAGAGCAATTCAGAACAAGGCTTGCAGGGCTCACAACTATTCCCTTTCATTCTCTTTCCACTATCCTCATTCTCTTTCACCTCGGACGTGAGCTGGGAGAAGTGGGGACTGTAAGAATTGTCAGCTTCTTGCTGCTGTATCTGAAAAGACCTCTTGCCTGAGGAAATTAATTTGCTTTCCTCTAAGAGTGGTTACCTGAAGACTGGTCATGTCATGAGTTCACAGCTAATAGCATGGCCTAATATTCACATGCTGCTAGGCCATCTGATATGGGTGCGTGTGTGTAGCTTACGTGAGCAGTTTCTGTTTGGTCGTGTAAAAGCTACAGTATACAGCTTTCAAATTGTTCTGTAACAAACCATACAACTTGTCTGATTGAAAAAGACTGAAACACCTTTGTCATGAAGCATTTTCCCAGCTATAAGTGATAAGATATATAAATTACATAGATAAGAAGAGATTTTTTTTGTATATGCAGAGAAGTTAGGATTCCACATCATCCTCGGGAACAAACCAGTGACTATATAAAGGATAGCATAATTAACTTAGCATTTATAAAAATGTATCTGCCTTCTAATATTGAGAAAACTGTTCCAGAGCAGGGTGATAAATATTTCTGAAGTAATGCAGATGCCCTGCAGCTAATGCAACATCTATCCATTAAATGTAATGAGCTACATGCCAAATTACATTATATTTTATTTTTATTATTTATGTGGTGAACAGTTTATTTTTAACTAATTAGTATATAACTTTTTGCCTAATAATATATGAACCTACATGAGATGAAGGAGCATCAGCCTGTTTTCCATTTTTCTGTTGTTCAGATAGTTGACCCTGTGACAGATCCCACTAATACTCCTCCATTTTTATTTGTTGCTTTGAGGGTGTTAAAATGTGTCTCCCCATTAAAAAGGTGAGCCAAAAAAAGGCACTGTCTGTGTTAGTATCTGTGAGATACTTTGCCTGTACCATTCAGATCATCATTATCTTTCCCTCACTTGCTCTTCAGTTGTGGTTGTATCAGGAAGCTTTGCAACTTGTTCTGAGCTGTATAGCAACAAAGCAAGAGCTTTTCTGAAGAAACACTGCTACGAAAAGTGTGCAGGGTTCATGGCCAGTCCAGGCCAGGGCTTACTCCTTACCCAGAGACAAATGTGCTCGTATGCTGATGGTTTCGTGGTTTATGAATACATGCAATAGCAAATAATCTTACAGCACGACACTGGGCACCGGTACTGCCACGCTGTGATTTTAACCCTGTTCTGCACCGAATGGTCTTGCTGTGCGTTGGACCCCTCGCAGGCTCGTTTTGACGCAGTGGTGCCTGCACAGCATCTCTGCTATGGGTGGAGTGAAAAGCCAACTATATTGCTCTTCTTTTTGCCCACACGTTGTGGTACTCTTCTGTCTCCAGTAAGGTGTCAATCAACTGTCCCAGGAAAAGGGCTTAGGAGAAAAGGCTCTTATGGTGGATTTGTGGCTCTAGTGCCAAAAAAAAAAAAAAAAAAAGGAGAGAAATACATGGAATTCCCTTCTAGTATCAGGAAGACCCCTGGGGAATGAGGAGATATCTCACAGGGAGATCAGCTCAACATCAGAGCAGAGTCTGAGGAGAGAGAGTCCCAAACTAAAATGTCCTAAACTGCTCTGACTGCTGATCTCAAAGTTTTTTTTGGTATTGCTACAACTGTGGTTTCCCAAAATGTTTTATGGTATAAACACAGTATAAAATTTCTGATAATATAATCTGTTAGAAGCTCATCCTGAATCCAAAGTCACTGAATTCAATGAACTAATGTGTTCCTTGGTGATAGGAGACCAGCCAGTGATAATATAGACCACGCTTTAATTCTGTGAATTAAGAGAGATATAGGCTGTTACTGTAGTTTTTGTGCTTTGCTTTGCAGCCCACTTCTAGACAGGATTCTGCAGTTTGTCATGCATAAGGCCTGGGTTTTCAACCAAAAGCTTGGTACATGATAAAAAGGTTGTCCAAATTTTGGAGGCTGCCAAAGTAGCTTTAAGCATATTCCTGTTCTTTGTGAATCTATGTTTTTTTTGTGTGTGTGTGTTTGTGTGTGTGCATGTTCAGAATCTGTGGTGTCTGTTTATTTTTATTTTTCTATTTCCTATAGGGCTTCAGTGGAGTCCTTCAAAAAAGGAGCACTAAGAGAACAATTAGTTAAGCTTGCTTCTAGGCAAAAAAGTCTGCTGATTGTTGCCCAGAACCAGAAGGAATTAGTCCAGAAAATACAAAACTACAGAAAAGAAAAGCAAGTATTTGCAGCACATTCAAAGAAACAAATCTCAGACGCACTTGTTTGCTATGGAAATAATAAAGGACAAGATTTAACTGCTGATAAAGTGACATGTCCCGATGCGGTTACATTTAGTACAGGGCCTGGTGCCAGCATGCCTAATGGAAACAGAGTAGAAACACATCTCTCTTTAGAAAATAGATTTTCAGCTCAGGAATGCAGCCAACATCCAAACAGCTGTTTGACTGAGAGAGGAGCAAATAAAGAAGCAATTACAAGCGAAGAGGTTTCTGATCATTTTCATGCATCTGAAAGTGGGATAAGAGAATATCCTCTCAACATCATGCCAAAGGTGACCAATGTTGTAGAAGTGGTGACGTTACCTTCAGAACCTACTGTTTCCACTACTGAAACAAAACGCTTGCAGCAAAGAGACATCGATCATGTAGTAACTGCAGAGCAAGGGAACAAGTCTGTAAATCCCGCGTCAGTGACCAACACATCAAACATTTCAGAAGCCCGAAGCGCTGTTGTCAGTAACAATATCTGTCAGCCAAGCCGTGACTGCGCGCGAGTTCCTCCTGCTGAGGATCCACTCCGAGGTGGAAATAAGAAGGACACTTCCCAGCAGCAGCAAGCGTTTGCATCAGCATCCACAGACAACTTTCCTAATGCTCTGCAGGAAGTGATCTGTTGGAGCAGTGTTGACTCATTTAATGCCAACTCTGTGCTTACAAGTCTAGTATCAAATACAGATTATCCAATAAACTTCAGCCAGAAATCCTCACAGAGCGGTATTAGTCAGCAGTGTGAACAAAAACAATTGAAGTGCAGAGGAAATAATAAGAAAAAACTTCAGTTGATTGATCTGCTTCAGCTGGGAAGGATTAAGCCAGGAGAAAATGTTCTAGAATTCAAACTTCAGGTAATTGGTGAGGTAAAATAATGTTTTTTTTAACAAATTAATGAAAAAAACAGACTTCTAAATTGAGAAGCAGCAGTTCTCATAGTTCAGTCTGTTTCTTTAGCACCTAATATTGAAAATTATATTTATAAATTGCAGATCATATTTTGTGAGTTTTGATGGACAATGCTGTATTTGATGACATGGTCTGTCAGACAATGATTTTAACCCCCAGAATATGCATGTGTAAAATTTGTGTTTAGCTTTGCCTGTTGGTTTAACATTTGTTATTCCTAGAAACAGTAGAATGGATGGGCTGTATTGTATAATACTCGATCTTAAAATTGGAAGATTTCTATGACTAAATGTAATTCTTGGAAAGACCAAAAATTCCATAGGAACTTAAGGAAAAATTTCTTAACAGTGAGGGTGACAGAGCACTGGAACAGGCTGCCCAGAGAGGTTGTGGAGTCTCCTTCTCTGGAGATCTTCCAAACCCGCTTGGACGCAGTCCTGTGCCACGTGCTCTAGGTGACCCTGTGTGTGCAGGGGGGTTGGACTAGATGATCTCTAGAGGTCCCTTCCAACCCTAAGCGTTCTATGATTCTATGATTACAAATCCTTCAGATCATGAAATGTAATATCAAAGATTTTATTGTGCCATGATAGACATGAGTATATGCAAAGTTACTTGCTTACATGCCAGCTGCTTCTATAGTTTACACATTGGTATGCACTAAACCTGTTTAAAAAAAAAAAACAAAAACAAAAAAGCAACTTCTTTTTAATGTTAAGGCATACCCCTGTGCCTCCAGGTTTAGTACAGAGCAGATTTACACAGCAGCTGCCAGGGAACCGACTTAGTGCTTAGCGAGTGATGGAATTATTGAGGGCTGTTATTGACTGAATTCCCAGCTGTGAGCTGGTTAATTTCCAGGGCAACATATTGATCAGAACATAAAAGGGTCTTTCCAGCTCTCCCACTAGGTGTAGTTAATGTAGAAAATACTCCTTTCTTCTGCACCTGTGATCTGCTCAAGAATACTTTTCTGCTGAGGTTAGTGATTTTGTGTGTTCTCATGTTCCGTAACAGTGTGAGTAGGTCACAAACTGCTCTACACTTCATCATACCATAGATATATGATAGATGTAGATATATACACAGTTGTTATTTTCTTTAAAGGACATGTAATATTCTTCAAAATGCCAAGGTGACTACACTGAAGGATGAGGAATTCAGTACGCTTACTGTCATCTCTCAAGACTGTTATCTGTGATACTAGCTTGATGGATGTGGGTCTTAGTTAAAACTCACCATAGAAATATTGATATTCTGGGCATAGAAAAGTTAATCTCTTTTACTCTGAAAATGGCTGTCATTTTTTATATTGGTAGGTAGCACTTTGCTACCTTGCGGAGGCTGAAGGTCCAAGGCAGTATCTATTGCATTTCAAAGAGAAGATCAATAAAGCTTTCTCCTATATGGTTATGGCTACCTACTTGGCAAGAAGCTACAGTTAGCACATAGTCTCTACCTAAAGTTAGCTTTGGGCAGACAGGATGCAGTGTTTGAGCATTATACACCCAAGTGTGAAACTGTGAACTGGATTTAGTGTTCATCACAGTGTTTGAGTTAAACATCTTTGTTCAAAATCTTATAGATACAGAGCCAAGTCATAGCATATGGTAAGAAACCATTCAATATTTTCTAATGGATCATTCTCTTATTCTAATTGTTTAACCTTGTATATACGAAGCAACTTTATTAAGTTATGATGCAGTTTATCAGCAACTCATTTTAACATCATTTAACCATGTTAGCCTACCAGGGCCCAGTATAACAAACAGATATAAGCCCTGCTTGCTCAGGTACATGTGTATTTGCAGTACAGGGCTTTGGTTAACTAAAGAGAGAATAACAATACATTGTTTTCTAATTAATTTTGCATAATTTCAGACTATCAGTTTCCTCTTGAAAAATTCAGTAACTTATCCTTGATAGTTGATATAGTGTAGCAGTTGGCAGTTCTGATTTTAGTGTCTGTTGGCATCAATGAAATGCAGTTTTTTGCAAAATGCATGTTTCTTCTTTGAATTATTGTCAGTACATCATTCTAGCATGCATTTGTTCCACACATGTTAGGGTAAGGGAGGTTGATTTTGAATAACAATTTCTTGGAAGACGAACTTGTTCCCTGTGAGTTCCTGAGTTCATCATTGCAAGTTAATTGTATTCACAGCTCCCTTATGTCTAAGAGGAACTAAGAGGCAACTAGTGTCCTCCTAAGCACTTGCTATTAAAGGGAATATTATTTCACACATAGGGGAATTTGTCCTCTAGCAGTGGTATCTTTGTGACCAAAATGTCACATTGTGAAATAAATCATCATAGTTTATATATCATAGCTTATGGTAATGGCATTGGATTCTTTAAAGTTTCTAAAGCAAAATATAGAATGAACTAGCTGTAGCTTCTCAGTAATATGGTCCTACAGAACTTCGTTGATGTTTTAAGGGTATTAAATCAGCTTTTTTTAAAATGTAAAAGTTGCAGTTTTATTTCTTAATTTTTCTTCTTTTTTTTTTTTTTTAGGAATTTAGTCATAAAGCCACACTCTTGGAGAATGGGAAGATCAAAATCAGTAACAGAATATTTCAGAATCCGGTTCAGTGGGTTAAAGAAGTACTAGGAAATGATATTTCAGTGACTTGGAAGTATGTGTGGAATAAGGTAGGCCTGATTTTACTCCTAAAAATAGTAATAACAATTTGGAAAAATATTTCTCACAAATGCATAGTTTATAAAGTAAAAACAATTGGGGAAATATTTTCACCGTTTTGGATCTCCATATAGTTCTTAAAGCAAAAGAACACACGAGCCCAAATTAAATAAAGAACAAGACTCTTCTTACAGTTAAGAAATAATCTGTAGACAAAGATCCATATAGCCCCTCAAAAAGTGTAGCTATGCTGTGAAGAAATTCTCAAAACAGAGTACCCACTCTGTGAGTTGTTGGTGCTGTGAAAGAATAATTTTAAAAACTATAAGACCAGAGGAAAAAAATGCCTAAAAAAAAAATTGCTAAAAGAATAAAAAATAGTAAACTCATCAAAATGTGAAAGTGCCAGGGACACATGTTGCAAAAGTAGTGGCAGAGTGTAGAGGGCTTCCCAGATGTGGTATGGTTTTTCACTTTCATTCAGAATTCAAATTAGCAGAATTGCTGCTTTATCTTGATAAATATAGATCAATCTGTTAAGTGCATAAACCCAATTTTGAAACTTATCACAAAACCTGTGAATAACTAAAACGACCAGTTATCCATTTATATTTGCTTGAACAGGTTACATATCTTGGTATGCAGTTGTCAAAATTTCTTGCTGAAGAACTGTCTGTTTCTAATGACCTGGAATTACCATCACAACAGAGAGAGCCTGTGGGTATGTACCAGTTGAAATCCAATATTCACAGTACTGGAAGTAGCCAAAAGTGATTTCTAAAGAGCTTCAATTCCACAGCTCCACTACTCTGTGTTGATCTCTTCTGAGCTGCATGTCTATCTCAGGACCCCTGCTTGAAACATGTAGTGACAAAGAATAATTATTAATGATTAGGTGCTAAGTTACTTTATATTTAAGGTTTAATACACAGAGAAATAAAGCTTTTAATAACCTAATATGGTACTTATTTACTGTACTGTATTTACTGTGATGGGAACTCAGATACATAAGCATAATTTTCAATCACATGTACATATGAAAATCAAAATAAATAATCTGTGCTGGTAGAGATCCCACATGCCTAGCTAACAGTAATAACTAGGGGAATATTGTATATATATATTTATGTTTTTTCTCTAAAAATAAGCAAATCATAAGAAACAGAGGATATTAATTTGACACATAACACTGTGCAACTTTTTCAGAACTGCCTAGCAGACTTAAGAATTTTAATTTTGATAAAGAATGGTTCTCAGAGAAACCTGATAATCAATGGCACTTAAACGTGGAAAAGTCTTTTGGATGGTTGTGTCTGTTTATTTTAACTTGAGGAGTCAGTGCAGCTCATGTGAGCATCAGGCCTGGTCTGTGAATTACTCTTACTGAGAGTAATTTCAAATATCATAATTTCAAATATCCAATCTGATATTTGAAACGCCTTGTATTTGTGTCAGGCTAAGAGCATCCAGGTGGTGAGTTACATTGCCCTGATTCAGTTAATTATTTTTATCATAAATAGTTTAAGATGACAGTGATGCTTCATCATCAGCCTTAGGTGGGAACTTGGGAGAGGGAATGCCAAAGACGATGATCACACTGGAAAGGAGGCGTTCTTGGTTTCACTTCCATTTCAGACGCTGTGTGGCCACACATACACTGGGAAATTGAGCAGTGCCTTAGAAGCTCCAGAAGATGATTAATCTACACCATTATATTGTGAGAACAGTTGAGAACATTTAGGCTCTTCCCAGGCAATTTTGAGGCCTGGTTTGTTAGTTAGCATGTTCCAAGTGACATTCCTAAAGAACAGTTTACCTGCTGTGAGCCGGCTTGGAAGCATGGGAGAGCTTAGTAGCATGGATGTGGGCTACTCAGTGTCATGAGCCCAGGGACATTCCCAGGCACTGTTTGATTTTCTAGTATCCTTACACTCCGTGTGAATTCTGTAAAGTAGAAGTTTATTCTGATTTTTTTAAGCAATTGATCCTGTCTTTCTGGATTAATGAACTGTACTTTTTCCTGGACAACCTGGAGCATCTTTAAAAGAGAAGGCAGGGGTTTGGTAATTTGAGCATGTTCAGAGGAGGAGGATCCCCACTCAACCCTCTAGCTTCCCATGTCTTAGCTCTGTATGATGGTCACTGTTGTATGAAAAGGATAGGGAATTTGAAAGAAAATAATACAGACTGTAGTCCTGCTTCTTTCTAGCCATCCATTTTTAGTCAAGTTTTTAGAAGGAAGCATCTACCATGGAATTTTGTACATAGCCCAGTTTAGGAAGCATGTCATAAAAACTCAAACCATGTCAAGGTCACTGGGAAACATGTATGAAGGAGTTCCCATTCTGTAAGTGCTAACAGTATAAGAAAGGTACAAGCTTTTTGGTGCTGATGAGACTCAGGTACCTCCAGGTTTGCACAGCAGCAGGATTTTAGGCACCTGAGTAAAAGTAATGCAAAAAAATGTAGAGCCCATGAAATAGAGAAGTCTGAGAGCAATGCAGATTTTTTATAAAAGCTTTATGTGCTGCAATTTTGGAGTTAGACCTCTAAATCCTAACTAAAATTGACTTTAGACCTATATGTTTCTTTGAGTGTGGACCTTTAGTCTCTCCTACAATCATGCTAGCATAAAGCTGTAATTACTCTATTCAAGTGTGAGAGAGAACAGAATATTAAGGAGATAAAATAATATTTCTAGGCTCTGTGATTACATAGCTTGGAATTTATCTCTCTTTTCTGACACATGTAATAGAGACTTAATGTTTAGCAAAAAATAGCCAAGAATAAACAAGGATTAAGGAGCAGATGTCAGCTGAATAGCAGATGTCATCTGCAGAGCAGATGTTGGTGTCAGAAATTTCATATTCAGATTTCAGTGAAGTGGTTTAAAATAATGGCATAGGTGCACTTTTAATAAATGCAATATGAAAATTCAGAATCTTCTTTCACTGGAAAACGCTAGTATTTTGCCCTCATGTTTTTGGAGGAAAACTGAGAAAGATAATGAATGTAGTTCGGTAGTTTAGAAATAAGGACACAGACGAAGAACCTCAAATTTAAAATTGCTGCTTTATCCAAATATCATGACTCAAAGGAACTTGACTAAGCATAAATAAATCTTTGGGGTTGAGTATTGTTGAAATAGTACATCATCGCCAGCAATAATACTAACAATAATAACATAAGAGAGGAGAAATGTAAAAAAAAAAAAAAAAAAAGAGCATCTGACAAATGACTTTTCTGTGTAACCTGTAGCAGAATATTCTATTAACTGCACTATGTCCCTGTTTATCTGACTGTGAAAGACAGGGAGATATACTATATTTACTTTATATTCTGTACTTCGGAAACAAAATGGGATGGTAAATGAATAACTGTACCTAGATATTTTTCCAACTCATAGACATTTCAAAGTATGCTAGTTATTTGAGTTCTGGCTTTAAAATGAATCTTTGATGGTATTTGAATGTGTGCTGTGTTATCTTTTTTAAGATATATAGACAAAATACTTAAAAGTATTTTCTAGTATTTATAACTTCCAGACATTTGCTTTGGGTAGTTACATACTTTACAAAGATGCAAGTAATTCTGCCTGCAGAATTTACAAAGCCCCTCTTTTGCAAGAACTTTACACACCCATGACCGAAGCACAGGCTTATGCCAACAACATACTTGTCCTTTCCAAAATCCTCTACTTACTCTCATTTGACCATCAGCTGATAATGAACGTTTTACCATGACTGGCTTGGAGATGAGCTAAATGACTATCAAGACCTTTAAAAACCCATTTTTTTAGGAGCCCAGAAAGGAAAGAAAAAAGCTGTTAAAAGCTACATGTCATGTAAGCCTATTATTCTAATAATTCAGTTCTAGTAATTGGATATCTGTGATTTCTTATCTGTAAGCCAGTTTTGTTTGAAACTGGCAGATCACTTCAGAAGTGGCTAGGTGGCAGTCAGTGTGATCCCACAGAATTATTACACACTCACAAAAGTTAGATGAGACCTCTGGAACTTTCTAGTCCAACATTTGCTCAGAGGAAAGTTAACTTCCAAGTTAGGTCAGGTTACCTGTGGCCTGTTCAGTCAAATTCTGAATGTCTCCAAGGTCTTTTCCCTGCATATCTGTATAGCCTGATCCAGCAATTAACTATGTTCACGGTGACTTTTTTTTCCCATATATCTGGTTGGACTCTGTATTGTTGCTGCTTGTGACTGTTGCATCTCTGTGTACAGAAATCTTATTTCCGTAGTAAACTCAGCTAAAAGTAAACAAAATGACTCCTAGTTAGTAACTTTAAACATCGGCTTTCTGGCATTTTCACTTTGTGAAATGTGTTGTAAAAGAAATCCTTTGGAAATCAACCCATCTTCTTAATTCATCAACTAATCTATAAAATTTTCATCTGCTTCGGTGGGCCTGTGAAAACAGAGAAGACTGAGACGATTAGATTTGTTGAAAATACTCTTGCTATTACACGCACCCATCTTTTCCTATCTTATTTATGAAAGCAGTAAAGGAAAGGGAATGTGGTAAACAGCCAGCCTTGAGAGCAGCAAGGTACTGCCCTGTTTGAAACGTCTCTGAAGGAGAACACAGGCTTGAGCAGCGTCAAAGGGGGCTGCCCACAAGAGACTGCGCTGCTCGTCCTGCTCACCTTGGCGGGCCCTCAAACACTTCTGTCCGCGCTTCCGTTTTTACTTTTGAGAGTGACTTTTAACAAAGTTGGGACAAAGCTTCTAAACAAAAGAGAATTCAGTTTTTAAATCATACCCTAATAATAACCTGAAGGAAAACTCTAGAAGTCGGTCTAAGGCTGCACGTAAAATCCACTGAATGTATCACAGATCCTGTAGATTTTGCCAGTGTGAAGGGAAAAAAAAGAAAAAGTTATTGTTTTTTTTATCAAATAGTTGTTCTGACCTAAGCTGTAATTTGATTTGTGCTTTGTCTTCTTGTCTGGTTCTTCCAGTTTGCTCTTCAGTGTTTTATAAACCTCAAGAATTTTAAAGTAAGTTCTCTTCTTTTAATTGTAGAAGATGGGCCCTGGGACTGTGTCTCATCCTTAACTTGACAGACTACATTCAGAGTTTATAAAATGTTTCAAAATGATTTTCTTTTACATAGAAATGACTATCCAAGTGAGTCACTGCATAAGCAAGTATACAATAATTTGAAGTAGTAGATTAAAAAAAAAAAACATAGTTTTTGCAAGCAATACCAAAAAATAGTCTCCCAATAATACTTTTAAAACAATCTTACTTTTTTTTTTTTTTTGGCAGAGGATATTAGTGAATACACTTGTTATTGAAAAACGCATTTTTTATTTAAACAAAATAGAACTAGATTCATTTGGTGAGATTGGTAGGTAAAGAGCTCAAAGGTTAAAATTTTTCAGACCTGTTGGGGGCTAAGGATTGGGCAACAGAGAGTTTATGCCTATGCTCTTTCAGCAGAAGTTGTTTATTTCACAGCCTGAGTCCTAGAAACAAGTTGAAAGCGGCTCATTTAAAGAGGTTACAAGTTCCACAGTTTGTGCTAAATGATCTAATGTGCTCTGGAAAACTTCTCAAAGGCCTCGTGATATATAAACATAACATTTCCTGGAATCTGGTAATAACAAAGCGCTTTTCATTTTGCAATTCATTGATGCATCTTAGGCCTGAGTTCATTATTAAAGCAGTCATATGCCATGTTCTCAAGGTATATATGTATTTATCTGTATATATTTAGAACAATTTTTATGTGAAAAGGCACTATTAGGAAAGAAAACATTTCCAAAAGTAAAGGAATGTCTTTCCTCCAGATATGGTTTCTCAAAATAGGTTGTTAAATTAACTTAAGACTTTGACAAGAAAATTTCCTGTGCTTAGAAACAACATATGGACATTTAAGGAGGAAAGGGAGGTTTTTTCCAACAAATCAAAAGAGGTTGTAGTGACACCTGTCATGGGAATTGGCACCAAGTATACTACAACAGATTCTACATTAAAGATAACCTTTCGGCTCAGTTTATGCCATAAACATGTCCATGTGCAAAAAAATCCCTAAACTGATTTCAAATTTTTTTTTTTGAAGGGGGGAGCAAGGGAGGGGTGTTGTTGTTATAACTCCCATGGCTTCTCACCCAAGCATTCCTCTATATACTATTTGACACGTTTCTTCTGGTAGACCCGGTAGGTGACTTCTTACTACAGTGGTGTGACCAACAGCTGCTCATTGAGAGTGAAGGCTCTGTGTGAGGAGCACTGCAATTACCTCCTCTTGGACTGGACAGTCTGTGTGTTTGTCATAGTCTGGGGCACTTGAATATGCCCTAGATATCAGACTGTGTCTTCCTCCTGCTTTTTGTTCCGTTACGTATTATATATAACAGCATGATTCAACTGACTTAAGATACTGGATGAAATCCTATTTTCGCTGTAGGTGCATTATTTCACTGTGAATGTTACAGGCCTGGAGCACTGTGTATCCTGCTGCACAAGATTGCCTGTTTGTGGCTCTGAACACGGAGCTGCCAGTCGTAATTTACCAGTTCCCTCTCCTGCTGCTTTGGGTGGTGAGATCCTTGCAATGAGGAAGTAGCAGGCAAATCCCCATGGAGTGTGAGATGTAGATTTAAAGAGGGATGCAGATTTTAGACTTAAAGAAACTCTAGAAGATACACTGATTCCTATCAGTGCTGTCAGGTGTGTTAGCATCATGTGTTCAATTCTGAAAGCAGTGTAGATGATTAAGTGAAGATCAGTGAAGATGATTAAGGGAGCAGAACATCTATCTTCTGAGGAAAGACTAAGCAAGTTAGACCTGTTTAGCTTGGAGAAGAGAAGACAGAGGGGATCTTATACCCTCTGTACAAACATCTGTGGGGGAGAATGTAAAGAGGATGGGGCCAAGCTCTTCTCAGTGGTGGCCAGTGACAGAACAAGGGATAATGGGTACAAATTGAAACACAGGAAGTTCCACCTCCTTGTGAGGAAGAACTTCTTTCCTGTGAGGGTGACAGGGCCCTGGAACACCACTGAGAAACAGTGGTGAAAAAGACTAACTTTTGCAATGTCACATTAAGGCAAGAAATAAGTGCCATCTAAATGAACAACTGGTGTATCTTCAAACATGCCTTATCTGCATTTTAACAATTCGATTAGACCTGGCTGATCTGGTTGCCTCTGAAAATACTTGAATGTTCCCTGAACACTGGTTTTGTTTTCTTCAAAACAGTAGAGGTCATCCCTTTTATGAAATGTGCCCTCCTTCTCTTAATAGCAGCTGCTAAACATTGACGTTTTTTGTGGTGGGATGGTTGTGGCACCCTAGTTGCTTAGCTGATGTTGTGTGAAAAGGAAATTAAGGGATAGGGATGAAGATGCACAAAAGCAAATGCCTCTGAAAACCCAAACAACTTTTGTATTCTGTACAGTCATAGAGAAAATGTCCTGTAAAAATTGTTACTGCTGGATTGTCCTAATGTTATTTTGTTACTGATTTTACCTCTGAAAATGGAAACGCAAAGGTCAGATTCTCATGCAGGGACACTAATGCTTTAGTTTTTGCATCACAGTAATTGCTTCAGTCCAGCAGATATTTAACTACTGCAGATACCTGTTGCTCAAACTCCTGCAGTTTCTTGTATTCAGGTGTGCTTCTCCCTCTTTATACAGTTCCCTCAGGGCTATAGGAAGGGCATGGTGGGAGGCATTCCTTTGTTTTTGACAAGCAGGCTAAACTTACCCGTTTGTGGAGATAAAAGTGAAATTGAAGCAATATTGAAGAAGTGTATTTTTATACCTATTTCCACAGGGGGGCAATAGTTGGAAATGGCTGCAAGGATTGATTTCTCACCCTGGGCACCAAAAAGTGTAACACTGCCCTTGTCTCCATGAAGTCTGGGTGCAGTGTTGTGCCTGTACCACAGGTGATGACATGGCTGTTACAGGGTTCCTAGGGCACAGGGAACTGTAGTGCTTTACTTGCTTCTAAAAAGCTATTAATCTAGATAATAGTGCTAGGAATTGCTTTCCATTATTTTAATATAACATTTCTAATCATTTGCTTTCATTTTCAACAGGCTCACCTGTCCGGTTCAGCTCATTAGAAAATCCGATGCATTTTCTTCAATTCAATGAGATAGTAATAGTGCATAAAGATGAGTTTCTACCATGTCATATAATGGAAAAACACTGGAATTTCTACAAAGAATGTGAAGATTTTGGATTTTAAAGACTTCTTGCATGCTGAGGCTTTTTTGCATCATCATTACTTTAAGCATTTTAACTTTTAGAATTAATTGCTTTGTTGCCTTCATTTTGGTAGACCATTTGCCCAGCACTTGGAGTGAACTGAAAGACTCCTCAGATAAATGAGAAACTGGAGGGTACTTTGTAGCAGGTAACGGTAACTGTCAGTAGTGAATTTTGTTCTGTAGGATTATGAAGTGTAGATGTAGACAAGGACCTGTTTTACGCTGATGTTCACTGAGAATTGTATTGCATGCTGATAATTTGGTATGATGCTCCACTGATTTCCATGGCTTCCTTAACTGGCTGTGCTCTGTGTGACTCCGTGGAAGCAGGTAGTTATCAACACTGATAGTCACTTTTCACATATGACTTCAGAAGTAGTCTGCCTGAGTGTATGCTAGCAGAAATGGCTGCAGATGTTTGTATAATAACATAAGCTGTCAGGTTAGGCAAAAATGAAGATGGGCAGCTTCGGAAATCACAGACAACTTTGCTTTACATGGAAGGGTTGTGTGCAGACGTTTGAGAGGAGGTGTACACCGTGAGAGGTTAAAAGAAGGATTTCTCAGGGAAATTCCATTGAGGTTCCAACCAAATACATCTGATGATAGGCAGAAAATGGAAAATGTGCTAGCATATGGCAGGAAATACAATGAGCTCATTTCTGGTAAATTAATTTTTCAATCTAAAAGCATCTTAGATACTCACCCTGATCTCTGGAGGATTTCTATTTGTTTTAATTTTACGATATGTGAAACTGCCTCAGTAACATATTTATACACATTTGACTGTCATGAGAACTGTCTCCATTCCAACTGTGTTCTCATTCTTCCATTATCTAGAATATAAGGAGAGATGTAATAATCATACCTACCCCTCCCAACTCCAGTGAATGGGATGAGGAATCTCTCCTGTCGATATATAACAAGCTCAGCTAGCTGTTTGGAGTGGCAGGAGCTGTTCTGCAGGGATTTTATTAGTGTCTTAGGCAGAAGAAGGTTTAAGACACGGGGTTCTGATGGGCAGGGTGTTAATACTGTGCCCTAGGATGCATCAGCAAACACTGCTATGTGGGACTGCAAGGGTGAAAAAAAAATGAGAAAACTGCCAAAAGCCAAAAAAGGAAAAGGCTACTGAGTGATAGGTGTTTAGCAGAGGTTCCACACAGAAAGAAAATGGAACCTTCTCACAGCCGCTGCAGCCAAACAAACCTAAAGGTACATTGGTTTAAAAGAACTGTTCGTTCAAGTAGCACAAAACATCTATAGAAGAGAGTGTCAGTTCCTCATTAAAAGTGAAGTATTTTTGACTGTTAAAATTACTGCCAAATTGTTCATGAGTTTGTCTGACATTTTTTCTTTGTTATAAGGTGTTTAATAAAATTAATGTGTAAAAGCTGGAAGGACTTGATAGTAATATTTTTAGTTCATTGTATAAACATGACTATGTGACCTAAGGCAATAATGAGATGCAGTGTCAAAAAATCTGATTGATTCAAGATGGGTGAAGAGGTAAAAAGGCAAAGGGTTACATGAAAGCTGCTGTTGCTTACTGACACCACTGCAAAAGTAAATTATAACTTTTTCTTAATATTTAGGTAAACGTCTTACGGATGCTAGCTTGACAACATAATCTGTTTTAATATGACTAACAAATATAGGGTTCCACCTGCTAAATCTTCTTGTAATAATGAATTTTCTGAATTCTGTCTCCTTGAATCTTTATTTTTAATGTAAAGACCTGTTAGGACATGACAAGATCCATCATGAATAGAGTGTTTTGTTTTCTCTGTTTAAATTTGCGCTGTGTCCTTTTGCATAAAAAATAAGCTGTTATTACAGGTCAAAAATAAGCAACTAGCGTTGATCCCAGGTACAGCAGAGCGGTATTGCCCCGCTCGCACACGGCCAGCAGCTGTGGGTAGGTCCTCCCAGCTCCTCACGTTCCTGCCATAGTCACTTCTCTTATTTAGTGACCACTTCTCTACTCCTAGGCTCTGAATTAGTGTGTGTTTTGTGCAGAGCAGAATAAAGGAGAACAGGACATGCAATGCAAAGAATACAAAAAGCTGGCATTCTGTCAGCTGCTAGTATCCAGGTAGAGAGTCAGAGGAGAAAGAGATGATGCAGGGAAGAAAAGCCACGATTTCAGATTCATATTTCCACTGTTTTTTTTCTTTTTTTCACCGAGATGCAGGGAAAAAAATCAGTAGGAAGATTAATACCATTGAGAGAGAATGCAAGGCACAAAACAAAAGCTTGCGAGTGAGGAGGAAGATAAGCAGCTGAGAGGCAGACAATAGGACACAGACTTGTAGGTTTTAAGGCCAGAAGGGACCAATGTGATAATCTGACCTCCTGCATAACAGAGGCCATAGGTTATTAAATGGCACGAGGAAGGGAGACCAGGGGGAAAGAGGCACTGGAACAAAGCCAGAGGTGTGGATGGTGCTACAGTCACACCAGGCAGAGGATCAGCACAAAATATTGCACCTCCTTGCCGCGCAAAGCTGCATTATTTAGGAAGGATAGATAAGGTAAGAGAAATGGGGGAATAAAGGCCAGCTTTGGAAAGGTATTTAAAGCGCTGTAAGATGCAAATCCCCGTTGGCTTTTTGATGGTGCTGCCTACGAAAATACTACTGAAAATGGGGAGGCAAAAGAGGCAAAAGAAATAGCAGAATAATTTGCTATGGGAGTTGGAATAAGTTCTTGAAATAAGTTGATAAGTATTTTATAATTAGGGTAAGGAAATGAAGTTTTTTTCTTATTTTTTCAGACCTTTATGTTAATTGAGGGAAAACACTTATTCAAATGATTAAGAGAATGAACAGTGTACGTAGAGAGATCTAGGCTTTTTTTCTGGTCACCAGTCCTCAAGTAACCAGTCAGGCAGGAAATCGTACAGATTTCCTGGAATATATGGAATTTAAATGTTTAGGTTTCTGACCTGTTTCTTTCTTTCTTTCTTTTTCTAAATAGCATTATTGGAGCTGTTATGGTCTAAGCATATATCTAACAAGTTTTATATGAGGAAATAATATCCTTAAATTATGTGGGGAAAAAAGAGATTTATTAGACATTTTAAGTCCTTTATACATACAGAAACTTTAAGCAGTGTTCTTTAGGCTTAATACTGCAGATTAAGACTTAAAAGTCGCCTGCTCACGGCAAGGAGGCAGCGGGGAAGTGGCGACAAGAGGAGTGAATCCTTCCTTCTCCTCAGGCGCAGCGGAGGGTGCCGGGCCGCGCTTGCTGGCTGTGTCGCTGGGAGAAAGTTGTCCCGCTTACAGCAGCATTACTGCAGCGGGCGATGACCCTGCGGGCCGTGCGGCGGGGCGCGGGCCGAGGGGGCAGCCCGCGCGGGTACTGAGCGCCGCTCGGGA